TGAAGCTAGTGAATCACTTTGACAGCTGGGCTTTACAAAGAGCAGGGCTGAATATGGACTCTGATATATTTTATGTGTGTGTGTATGTATATGTATTATATATGTATTTATATATGTAAAACTGGGCTTTACAAAAAGCAGGGCTGAATATGGACCCTGATATATTTTATGTGTATGTATAAATATATATATATGTATATATATATGAGAAATGTTTGACCCCTTATCTTAACCTTGCTATTGTGAAAAAGTTTCTAGAATCTAGAATCTTAACTCATAGGCATACTATTTCCCAAAGCCTAAACATAGACCTTAGGCATACATGAGCCCTGGGTTAGAATTCCTGCTATCTAGGTGAGGGGCAAAGCAACTGCTCAAAGCCTGCCGGTGTACTTTGATCTGAAAGTGGCTTATTGACCAGAAGCTCTTCCTCGGTACATCACACCTTCCAGAAGAACCGAACCAAGATTCTGAGACACGCTTTTTTATGCTTGCTTGGAACTTAGGGCCCTGTACCATACATAGCTTCTCTGGGTATAGCTTCTTATACCAATCAGTTCTCTGACATCAACGGGATATCTAAAACTTCTACCGCAACACTAACTGCTGGGAGTTTGTGCAGACCCACAGGTTGAGGGCTCAGTTCTATGAGGCTGCACCCACTTCTGACGCCATGTCCCAGGCCACCCCTACTTCTGACCTGCCAGCTATATAGTAATCAGGCCTTCCCAAGACCTCCTCGTCAGGTTCAATAATTTGCTAGGTAAGCTCATAGAACTCAGAAAAACAGTTTACTTATGTTTACTGGTTTATTATAAAGAATACAACTCAGAAACAGCCAAACGGAAGCGATACATAGAACAAGGCATGGAAGGCGGTGCAGAGCTTCCATGCTCTGCTGGGTGGGCCGCCTCCCGGCACCTGGTGGCTCTCTGAATCTATTGTCTAAGAGTTGTTAGAGAGTTCTGTCTCAATAATCCCACTTCCCAAAGGTCAGAGGACAGAGCTGAGAGCCCAACCCTATCACTTGGCCTTTCTGGTGACCAGTCCTGTTCTGGGGCCATCTAGGAACACTACCCTAAGTATCCTCATTAGCCTAAACATTGGTGTGGTCTAAAGGAGCTCATTATGAACAACGAAAGATACTCCTATCACTCAGGAAATTCAAAAAGTTTTAGGAAATCTGTGCCAGGAATCTGGGACAAAGGCCCCAAATACATTTTTGTTTTTTATACTACCGCAGCTTCCCCGTGCCATCTGGGCCTATTAAGATCATACATGACCACTAAGCATTCCCACCTCTGACTTTTTTGCTTGGGTACTATCTCCTCCTTTCATCTGTATCTGTCTCCCTTCAGATGGATTAGAATTGGGTTTAGGGTCAGAACCAGGGTTCTGTTGGCATTGGCGATGGGTCAACCAGGAGAAGACTAAGACCTCCAAACCCGATCATTCTACCAGGTTGGGACCAGCTTCAGTAATAGGTAACACAAAGATATCCAGGGAACTGCAGCAGGCAAATAACCAGGCAGGCGGGCAGTGCAGAGCCTCCAAACCGCTCAGCAGGGTAGCAGGTGGCATCAGAGATGCCTGGCAGCAGGAACATTGCCAGAGGATTGAAGTTTCAGGCCAGGACTTTAATCCTTAGAATTTGGAGGGGCAAGACAGACTCTAGAGTTTGAAGTCAGCAGTCAAGGTAGCAAATTAACACAAGGGAACAAAGCAGGCTCCTGGTCACCAATGTTGTGGTACAACGTAGTGTATTTAAAATAAGGAAATGCTCCATAAACAAAAAGTACAGTGTCTAAGCAGGGCTACCAGTAAGGCTGACTTTATTCCAAGTCAATGAGTTTTCACCCTATTCTTCTTAACACTCTTTCTGAGGATCAATGTATCTCTGAGTTAGGATGGAGCTGAACCTGCAAAGGGATATCAAAGGGATCTCCTGGGTCTAGGAGGTCTTCAGGGAGCAGAAAGCTAGGCAGAAACCAATAGGAATGTCATTAGCATCCCCATCCTTGTTAGTATTTTAAATAATAATCAGTGTGGGAAGTTAGTGCCAAATATATCTTGGACCCGAGGCAGATAGTCTAGGGGTTTTTTCTTGGTTTTATTTATTTATTTGTTTTCTGTAAAGCAAGTAGAAAGACAACAAGGTGTTGTGGTTATAGGTATGAATCTGGAGCCAGGCGGCCTGGATCCAAATCTCAGGCTTGCCATGAGGTTAGCTGCTTGGCATTGGCAGCTCTTTAAATCTCTATATTCCTCATGTAGAGATCAATATAGTGTTTATTATGTCATGGAAGAGAATAAGAAAACCCAACTCATAGAGTTCTTATGAGTAATGAATGAATGAATTATATAAAAGTGCTTGTAACAATTCCTGGCATATAATAAACACTGTGTTGAAATATGAATAAAACAATTAAAAACATTTCAGGACCCAGGACCCACCTCAGTACGAGTCCCAAGTCTCAAATGAAAGCTCTGTGGACAAGGAGATGGTTAAGAAATTGTCCAGAATGAGGGTAATACTAGAGTGGCAAGACCACAGGACTCAAGGGCCCTATTGAGACTTGGCCCTAATATATTTGATTTTATATAATGCAAAATGTCAGCCTAAGAGTGAAGAATTAGAGTCAATACATCAACAGGGAGAAGCAACTATCTAGGACAATTCATAAGGTAATATTTGTCTCAAACAACACAATTCCCTTAGACTTGTGAAATTTTAAGGAGGTGAAAAAGAAACACATGATGCATCCAAATATCATTTTATTCTAGTTGATTTCAGTTTTTTCAGGACTAGGACAACATTCAATTCTTGTTTATATTCCTTGTACATGGGAGAGGTCCAAAGTTTTAAGAAGTAGCTGTTGAATCAAGTGTGCAAAAAAAAGCAAAGGTATTTAGTCCTCCTTTTGTCTGTCTGTGTTCAGGTTTTAAGAAGTTTAGAAAGACTAAGCAACATAAGTGGAGTAGGGGTTGCCTCAGGAAAAGAGGGATATGTCATGAGAGGAGAATCAGGGAAGAAAGAAGGAATAAGAAAAAGAAAAAACAAAGTCAAGAAGGGGAGGATTCTGATTCAATGATTCTGTGTTAAATAGCTCGTTGTTAAGCAGAGTAGCATTGGTTTTGGTGTTAGAGTCCTCCAGAGAAGCAGAACCAATGGGACATGTATAACATATACATAGGGAAAGAGATTTATTCTAAGGAACTGCTCCTGAGATTATGGAGGCTGGGAAGTCTCAGGTCTGCAGGGTGGCTGGCAGACTAGAAACCCAGGAAAACCAGTGGTGCAGAGGAAGCCCGAAGGCAGTCTGCTGGAGAATTCTCTCTCTCTCTCTCGAAGGCCAGTCTTTGTGTTCTACTCAGGGTTTCAACTGACTGAATGAGGCTCACCTACAATATGGAGGGCAATGTGCTCACTCAAGAGTTCACAGATTTAACACATTGACTGCCACACTAGAAAAAACAAATTTTTTCCCTGGGGCCATGGTGTTTTATTATAAAAATAGAATAAAAACTTTGAAAACAAAATGAACCTTTCTAATTGAATGAAAAATTTGTTATTCTTTATTATTTTCTGTGCATGAGTTATGTGAGACTCACGTGGCACTAGGATCAATTTTTAAACTGCACACCAATTGAGTTGTATGTAACTCATGACATATTTGTTGAATTTGTTTCAGAGAATTGAATCTTCATATGTTTCATGAGGCCCCGGACTCAAAACTAGCATGAATTAAATACAACTCACAAGGCAATTGTGTGAAATGTTAATCTCATCCAAAAACATCCTCTAAATTGACAAATAAAATGAACCGTCACTGGCTCTAAGCTCCTCTGAAACCAAAAATAACCTATTGTTCTGTTTTGTTTTGGTTTTTTGTTTGTTTTTTTGAGATTGAGTCTTGCTCTGTTGCCCAGGCTAGAGTGCAGTGGCATCATCATAGCTCACAGCAACCTCAAACTCCTGGGCTCAAGAAATACTCCTGCCTCAGCCTCACAAGTAGCTGAGACTACAGGCACACGCCTCATGCCTGGCTAATTTTTCCAATATTTGTAGAGACAGGGTCTTGCTCTTGCTCAGGCTGGTCTTGAACTCCTGGCCTCAAGCAATCCTCCTGTCTCAGCCTCCCAGGGTGCTGGGATTACAGGCGTGAGCCACCATGTCCAGCCTAAACTTCATTTTTTTTTTAAAATACTATATTTTGGGGACTTGGTTACAGCAGCTTAGCCTTTACTAACTAATATAAACCATTGGTACCTGGAAATGGATGCTGCCATAGAATGACTTTATATATGTAGCATCATCCTAGTGGTCAGGGATTGGCAACAAGAACAGATACTGTGGCCCAGAAAGCTGGTGAGCCTTGTGCAAGGCATACCACTGTCCCTTCTTTTCTCTTAGGAAAAATGAATGTCTCTCTCAACTATGTTCCACAACACACATGAATACTTTTGACACACAATTGTTTCTATATGCTTCTTCAGAATACTTGCTTAATGGAACTGTTTATCCTCAGCTTATCCTTGAACACAAATGCAGGCCCAGAAATACAGGTTGAATGAATAAATAAATAAATGCTCAATGAATGAATGATTAATGAATGTTTGTTAAGAAAATTATTTTCTGAGGCTTCAGCTAGATAGGATTAACTATAAACACTCGGAATCTCCAGATGTCACGAAAGCCTGTCCCTCATTGTAAGATTCACATTACCTGTCCATCAAGGAAAGTCACTGGGGAGCCGGGGCTTCAGGACATGTATTAAATCTTAAGCTTTGCTGACTCACAATGTCGCTGCTGGGCCTTTGTTTGCTGCCTTAAATTTTTTTCTATAAAAAGGGCCATGATCAAACTCCAGGAGAATGGTATAAACTTGCTATTAAGATGATAATACAAGATGCAAGCAATTTAAATTCTTTTAAAAAACCTTTTGAAACCCCCAAATATCCTTTATAGTAGATCTATGTTTATTTTAGAACATACACTGGCCAGAGGAGATCGTGATGTCTTGTTCCTCCTATTTTTGTAATGCCGATGCTATGAGAACAGAAGGGATACATTATTCAGGAATTATAAAACAAATAACTGCAGGATTGAATTGTCTATCATATTACATTCCACAAAGGCAGTAATGACATGTACAAAAATCAAAACAAAGAACAAGGTCATCTATAATCCTAGCATCTTACAATGTTTTAATTTTTATACGTTCTGTTTCATATTTTATGTTTGCCTATTTTTTCAAAGGCACAATGAAAAAAAACACACACAGATAAATCTTACCTGTGTTCAGGCTGGACCAGCCCTGGGGTGAACCTCAGGTCACACTAATAGTCATCAGTCAGTATTTCTCCCATTCCACCCCTACTCCTGCAGAAATTCCAGCCCTCCTCAAAACCCTCCCTACTAGTTCTTGAGTTCTCGGGAACTAATCTTCCCAGCGATCATGTGTCAGTTCCAATTTTCTTCTCCTTTTTAGCGTCTCCCTTTGGAAACGAATCCTGTGGCTGATGCGAACACAGAAACCTCAGCTCTCAGAGGCTGTCCAACTCCTCCTCCCTGGTGTGACCCCTCTCTGTTCTCCCACCAGCCAGTGAGGGCGGCCTCCGGTCCGCAGGTAGCTTGCTATCCACCCATCTCCACCATATCCATCAGCAAATGCACTGTGTCAGAATAGGGACTCGGGCTACCAGGCAGTGCAAATGTGGAGATTTTAGTAAAACTGCCCATGTGGTTTGTACAGGCTTTTTTTTTTTTTTTTTTTTGAGACAGAGTCTCGCTTTGTGGCCCAGGCTAGAGTGAGTGCCGTGGCGTCAGCCTAGCTCACAGCAACCTCAAACTCCTGGGCTCAAGCATTCCTCCTGCCTCAGCCTCCCGAGTAGCTGGGACTACAGGCATGCACCACCATGCCCGGCTAATTTTTTCTATATATATTAGATGGCCAATTAATTTCTTTCTATTTATAGTAGAGACAGGGTCTCACTCTTGCTCAGGCTGGTTTTGAACTCCTGACCATGAGCAGTCAGCCCGCCTCGGCTTCCCAGAGTGCTAGGATTACAGGCGTGAGCCACCGCGCCCGGCCTGTACAGGCTTTTTATTGCAGTCCATACTCCTTTCAGCATCTGTGTGTCCATAGTTTGGGGAAGGAAATGGCTGACAAAGTCTGCTTAGGGTCGTCTTTTTCTTTTTCCTGACCGTCCTGGGCTGAGCTTATCATACTTGATTCTCTTTTCCTTGTGATGAAGTTTTTACTCAATAGGTTCCTTAGTCCCACATGCAAACACATGCCAAGTAGGCCTCTTCACACAGGCCTAAATATGTTTAATTCGTCAGACAAACACAATTCAGGGAGTCTGGGTGTCCTAATACAATAGCATAGATAGAATTCTGTGTTTCGATTTTTTTTTCATTTCACATTTTGAGAGCATTTCCAAGTTACTACATAGTTCTCATAATTATTATGTAAGTGGTTATAAATAAATATCATATAGGATGGATATACCATCATTTACTTAATCATCTTTTATTTTGGATGTACAGGTTATCGGTGATTTTTCTCTAGTTGAATAAATGTGAATTGAGCAAGGACAATTTAAATGGTCTGGATTGTGTGTTTTACTTTGGAGACATATATATTAGTCAAGAAAATCATTGCTTCTGTAATCTCACAAATGTCAAGGATGCAATGCTACAAGTGCTTATTTCTCAGGTATAAACAGTCCAGGGAAGGGTTCTTTGTCAGCAATGTTGGGGAGAGTTCTGCCCCACACATTCACTAGGAGACACAGGTGATGTGGGTTCCACCATCGTCAACAACATGGCTTCCAAGGTCTCTCTGGCCAGAGAGACCTATCTAGGCAAGAGAGGTTCATGTGAGGGTTTCTTAAAATAAAATTTACCCTTTTAATGGTCCAGTTTGATGAAATTTTGGTAATTATGTACAGTTGTATAACCACCAAGAAAATCAACACAGAGACTTTCTAACACCCTAAAAACTTCCCAGTGCCCTTTTAAGTCTGGTACCCTCCTAGAACCCTAGCCCCAGGCAACTTTCTGTCAATATAGAAAAATTATGCCTGTTACTCTAATTCTACATGAATGGAATACAATACATATTATTTTATGTTATGCTTCCTTTGCTCAGCATAATGGACGATCATTGCATTAGTAGTTCATTGCATTTTATTGCCACATAATATTTCATTTATGGATACATCATGATTTGTTAATCCATTTACCAGTTTATGGACATTTTGGGTAAGCCCCAGGTTTTACCTATTACGAATAACGCTGCTATGATTTACATACATGTCCTTATGTAACATGTTTTCATTTCTCTTATGTAAATATCTAGAAGTGGGATTATTGAATCATATGGAAAGTGTGTTTTTAACCTTATGAGAGATTGCCATATTGTTTTAAAAATTGCCGTACCATTTTGCATCGTCACCAGCAATATCTGAAAGTTCTAGTTGTTCCACATCCTTATCAATACTTGCAGTTGTCAATTTTAGCCATTTTTGTGGATGTATAGTAGAATGTTGCTTTTCATTTGCATGATCCTAATAATTAATGAGATTGAGCATCTTTTCATGTGTTTATTGGCTATTTGTATAATTTCTTTTCTGTATGTTTCTATTTTATTAGATATAATTTACATGAAATAAAGCGCACCCACTTGAAGTGCACATTTGCATGAGATTTGACGAGTGTATACAGCCTTGTTGTGACCACCACAATCAAGATATATAACATTTCCATTATGCCAAGGACTTTTCTGAATCTCTTTGCAGCTCACCATTCTCACCTCCTGCACCAGGGAAGCCTGGATATGTTCTTTCTCGTGGTGAATTAGTTTTGTCTATTTGAGAATTTTCTAGAAATTTACTCATTTGTGTTTGGACTCTGTCACTCAGCGTAGTATTTTTGAAACTGCCCCAAGTTGTTGTATGCGCCTGTAGTTCACGATGATTTATATTGCTAAGTAGTATTTCACTGTATGGGTATACAATAATCTTCTATTTATTCATCTATTGATAGACATTTGGGACTTTCCAGTTTTTGCTATAGGTATTCAGGTACAAGTCTTTCTTGTTTGTCTTTTTTTGAGACAGAATCTCACTTGTGCTGCCTGGGCTACAGTGCTGTGGCAGTCTAGCTCACAGCAACCTCAAACTCCTAGACTCAGGCAATCCTCCTGCCTCAGCCTCCCAAGTATCTTGGCCTACAGGCATGCGCCACCATGCCCGGCTAATTTTTTCTATACATTTTTGCTTGTCCAGCTAATTTCTTTCTATTTTTTCAGTAGAGATGGTTCTCACTCTTGCTCAGGCTGGTCTCAAACTCCTGCCCTCAAGTGATACTCCCGCCTCGACCTCCCAGATTGCTAGGATTACAGGCGTGAGCCACCATGCCCAGCCACAAGTCTTTTTATAGACATGTTTTTATCCTCATGAGTATACACAAGAAGAGGAATTGTTAGATCAAAGTTAAACATATAGCTATTATATGTTTATACCTTTAGTAGGAATTGCCAAACTGTTGTCCACATGGTTTGGACTTTTACCCCTCCTCCCAGCCATGCCCCAGGATTCCAGTAGTTCCACACCCTCACCAACCCTTGGTATTGTCAGTCTTTATATTTCATCAATTCTAGTGTGAATGTAGTGGCATTGTGTGTTTTTTAAGTTTTTGCTATATTTTAATTTTAGATACTGTCAATTTCACTTTTTACCATATGAAGCTCTGTGGGGTCTGACAGATGTATATAGATATATACCCACAGTCAAGACCCTGAAGAATGCTGTTACCCCGGAAACTCCTCTGCTATCCCTTGGTAGTCAACCACCCCTCCACATTTAATCTCTGAAAAAATGCTGCTCACTTCTCCAAACCTACTGATATACCCAATAGACCTTCTATTGGCTATTTGTATATTTTCTTTTGTGAAGTGCCGGTTCAAATATTTTACGCATTTAAAAAGATTGGGTTGTTTGTCTTATTATTGAGTTGAAAGAGTTCTTTATACATTCTGCATATAAGCAAGAAGAGTACCCTCACTAGCCAGCACTTTCCAATACCTTTAGGTGTTGCTTTTTCATTATGTTCAGATTTGATAGTTGTTTTCTGTGGGGGAGTTGGTCTTGTAGGATCTTACTGTATCATTATGGGGAAATGGAAACTATGAAGAGGGTATTAAGGGACAGGATTGGAATTGGCTGTCATCAATTCTACTTGCAGTCTGTTGGCTGGAATTCAGTGATGGGACAACACCCAACTCTACAGAAGGCTGGGAGATGTGGTCTATCTGTGTCCACAGGGTGGTATGCCCTGGAGGAGAACAGGGTTGATCAGCTATGATATCTGCTGTGGGGCCTAGAAGGAACATGCAGTGGCAGATGTTCTGGCCCAGGGACATGGTAAGTCTATTTCTAGATCCCTTCCACAAAAACTAATCACAACATACCTACCATATGCTAGACATGGAGCTACAATAACTGAGGCTAACATTTACTGGGCACTTACTGTGTGCCAGGCATACCTAGACTCTACAAACATTTCTTGACTGTTGAATGGACCTGATTTCTTGGTGTGGCCCAGCGGGGACTATCCCCACCTCTCACTGTTACTGCTGTATGATGATGTGCCCCGTGGTACCTCCAATCTCACCGGTCTAGCAGAAGCAGGCTGCTTGCCAAGCACAGTCTGTTCCCGAGAGGGAAAGGATCATTGGAGAATCAGAGAATTAATATTCCCTAAACTTCAAGAGGCCAGTTTTTCCACTCTTTGGCTCATTATTTATGAGCTCCTGCTCACCCTCCAGAGTTTGGGTAAGATTCTAATTTGCAAGCTCTCTCTTTGCTCTCTGCTATGTCTCTGCACCAAACTCATGACTATTCAAGGCGTTCCATCCTAGAGCCGTTCGCAGACCCATGTTTTTTATCTTTTCATGGATTTCCTGCTTCCCTGCATAGTGTTGCCAGATTTATTTGTAATAGTCCTTTGATTATCCAAGTGTATTGGGAATGCTGTCTTTATTATAATTTCTCTGTTCAAAGCAGCTAGATAAAACATGTATAATAATAATAATAACAGCTAGCACTTGTTGGGCACTGTTGCTCACAAACTGCTTCTATTTTGTCCACCCCCATTACACAAATCATTTGGATGACCAGTGGTAGAGCTGCTTCACTTGTTCACATACTTGTTAGAGTAAAATGCTCAAAGTTAATTTATTTTTCCCCCATTCTACTCTTGTTACAGAGATAATTGACATTGCAATGGTCAAAAGATACTCAGCAGGAATGGCAAGCAAGGGAGGTAAAAGGACCAAATGATAAAAATAGGATCAAAGGCTCCTCAATATTTCATAATTGCATGGCTGTCAACACACCCACACCTGGAATCTCTCTTTTGTATTCCAGATAAACTCCCTTCCCAACCTGATCATACTGTCTAGTGCTGTCCTTCAATGCTGCCCTGTCTCTTTTTTGGTAACACACAAACTCCTCTGATCGCACAGCTCTTTCTGACCTGGCCAGCTCCCGTTCTGTGTCATTACCCGTTATTATTCAGTAATACCTGGCTTTACTCTGATATTCCCTTATCTACCTCGAGACTGGACCTGCCCAGGAGAACACAATTTCCTTTGACCTCCTTCCTGAAATCTATGGCAGAAAAGAAGACTGGGGAATGCAACCATTCCTGGGTAGACTCTTACACAAGATAACGTATGTCCACCTCTCAGGATCATTCAAATTCTACAACTTAATTTCTGTCTCCCACGTCCATTCATTCTCTAATACAGTGGTCCCCAACCTTCTTGGCACCAGAACTGGTTTCATAGAAGACAATTTTTTCCATGGACTGGGGGTGAGGGTGGGAGGGTGGTTTAGGGATGATTCAAGCGCATTACATTTATTGTGCAGTCAAACCTCTCTGCTGATGATAATCTGTATTTGCAGCTGCTCCCCAGCACTAGCATCACCGCCTCAGCTCCACCTCAGACCATCAGGCATTAGTTTCTCATAAGGAGTGCACAGCCTAGATCGCTCACATGTGTGGTTTACAGTAGGGTTCATGCTCCTTTGAGAATCTAATGCCACCACTGATCTGCAGGAGGTGGAGCTCAGGTAGTGATGTGAGTGATAGGGAACAGCTCTAAATACAGATGAAGCTTCGCTCACTTGCCTTCTGCTCAGCTCCTGCTGGGTGGCCCTGTTCCTAACAGGCCACAGACTGGTGCCAATCCATAGCCCAGGGGTTAGGGGCTAAAGCTCTAATAATCATGACACAGAAGAATTGCCTACATTCTCCATCTTCCCTTCTCCCTATTAAAAAGGATATTTTTAAGCATCTAAACCTCATAAAGTTATTGAGCAATCATTCTGCTATTTCCCTGTGTTTAAGCATGTGGGTAAACTTGTATGCCTTTTTTCCTGTTACTCTATTGCTAATCCATTTTTTTAATAGACTTAGACTGGAATCTCCAGAGGGAGATTGAACTTCCCTACAGGAAAGAATGAATGAGGAATGGGGTCAGTGCACCCTCTCCCCACTGTCCCCTCTGCCACCTAAGTACCCCAAAGCAGCATGCCCTGTGTCTCAAGGACACCTCCTGCAAATAGCTCTTTCAGATTTTGTCAAGAGTGCCACACTCCAAAGGCTCAGAATTTAGCCCTTTGAAATGACTGGGGGGTGGGCAACATTTCCTATCACACTCATCTCTGGATACAGGAGTCTTTAAACAGCTAATCATTCTGGGAAATACGAATAGTTGTTGAGGAGTGGGGAGCTAGAGTGAGGAGAGTTCTCTGGTCCCATCCATCCTGCTTCATTTTAGGGTAGCTGGAACTACCCAGGTTTTTGTTGTTGTTATTTTAATATAAATTCTCTGGTTAATTGCATGCGAGAGAAGAGGGGTGTCCATTACTGTTCTGTCTATCTTTCCTATCTTCTAAAATTTCTTTTTGATTTACTGCAACTTACTCTCTCTGTCCTTGATGAAATTTATTCTTTCATTTTGCCTGGTTTTTAAGTATATTTGTTTCCTATTGCTGCTATCATGAATCTGTCAGAAATTTGGTGGCTTACAGCAACACACTTATTCTCTGGCAGTTCTAGTGTCTAGAAGTCTGATGTCAAGGGTTCTAGGCTGAAGTCAGGGTGTCGGCAGAGCTGGTTCTGCAGGAGGCTTTAGGGAAGAATCCATGTTCTTGCTGTTCCCAGTCTCTGCAGGCCCTGCATTCCTTGTGGCCCCTTCTTACATTTTCCAAATACATCACTTCAGTTTCCACTTCATCATCATATGGCTTTTATCTCACTCGGATTCCTCCTGTGTCCCTTTTATAAGAATCGTTGTGTTTATATTAGGTCCACCTAAATTATCCAAGATAATCTCCTCATCTCAAAATCCTTAACATAATCACATCTGCAAGTCCCTTTTGTCATAGATGGTGACATTCGCAGATTTCAGGCATTAGGGTATGGATATCTTTGGGGACATTATTCTGCCCACTAGAGCAGGACTCAGATTTCTTAGTAAATATCAATGTGTTGGACAACTTCCCAGGCTACACAGAATCCCTGATTTCTGCCTGTCATCACCATGACATTGAAGCTTTTTGTGGTATTGTTTCTAAATTTAATATAACACTTTAGAGATTGAGAAAGCTCAGATTTCATTTTGAAAGATTCAAAGGACAGCACAGTTAGAAGGTTAACTAGAGAGTTGAAAGAAATCCAATAATCTCAACTTTAATACTTATTGTTGTGTAACTTCCCAATAAGTCATTTTACTTCCTTAAATTGTAAAGTCTAGGTAAATACAAAGGTATACCTCAGGTTTGTCATCTGTAAAATGAGAATAGTAATGCTACCTACCCCATAGGATTGTTGTATTTACTGATTTATACTTACTTGTACTTTAAAAGGATTCATAAATATTTGTATCATTATTATGGCTATGTTTGCATTATGTTTCCATGCCTGATCCATCTAAAATATGGGTTTTCAACGAAACCCATGGGATCCTAGGAGGCCTTCGAACAGACTTCAGGAGGTACATGAATACCCAAAACTGTGTACATAATTTAGAAGGTGAGAGGTTTTGTAGCTTTCCTCAGATTCTTGTAGAGTTCAGTGACCTTAACAAGTTTCAAGGCACTGCAGTTGAAGGTAAGAACTTCAACTTGAGATATTAGAGGGAAGCTCTCTGATCACTAAACTTCCAAGGTAGCAGCTCAGCCTCCATCCTCAGGTCAATAAGCTTAAGAATTTTTTATCAGAGCCCCTAGTGTTGAGCAGAGTTTCGGACTAATTAAGTCACACAAGACCAGTGTACAAACCAGAATGTCACCACGGTTGTGAATGGAGGATTGGGTGTCTAGTGACTGCAATACCAGTTGTCCTCATCACTGTTGCTTGGTGGGGGGGGTGCCTGAGCAGCACCCCCATGCTGATGGGGAGCCCTTTAAAAAACAGTCTCTTAGCTTCTGCCTGTTTTCTCCTTTTGCCACAAAACTTAAAAGACAATGGGAACTGGCGGGAAACAGATCCACTGAGCAGCCCTTACTGGCATCAAAGTATCTGGAAAATGAAATAACTATTAAGAAAAGTAGTAAAGAAAGGGGGTTGCAGAACCAGAGGGGATGTTGTTATATAGACTCTGATAAAGTCTGATGAATCTTGTCTGTACCACGTCAAAGCACAACTCACAAATGACCACAGTACCCTTGTCTGTCACACACATGGCCTTCCTCTCTTTCTCTTGGAACAGTGCTGGGTAAAGGCCAAACTTCCCTTGGCCCATTTCTGTTGAACATGCAAACTAGCCCTTTCTATTAATATATTCTTTCTGCAAAAGAATTATACTACAATTCATTGTAAGTTGTTTTTTTTTCTTTTTAATGTTCAGTTACATTTTGATAAAACAATTATCTTCTTCCCGTAATTCGATCTGGTGTCCTCCCCAAACTCCTTTTTCAGGCTTTTCCCTTCTCTCAGGATAGGTTACTCTCTCAGGTGGTTACCTTCATTCATTATTCATTGATACTTACTAGTTTTCACTGTCAGAGAGTTGCCTTTTCAAGTTCTCGGTGTGCCTTACCGAGTCCCTTCGTGTGCCAAACAAGGAAACTGTGATCATCATTGCATCCACTGTCATCGTGATAAAGAAAACAGCACTGTGAAATGGAGCTTTCCTCTGTGTGTTAATATTAAGAGATCTTTTAAAGATTTAGATAATATTAGTTCCCTTCTTATAATTAACTTTTCCATCTTTTCTTCCCACTTAGAATAAAATCTAAATAAAATCTAAATAAAATAAAATCTTTCCAAGGTGGAGTGGTCAATATTGGTGTTCTTAGCCCGCCCTCCAATCCCCATTTTCCTTCTTTTGGCTCAGCATCCTGAGTTTTTCTTGGGGACTCACTTTTCTCCTAATCTTAGCATATACTTTAGATGGAACTAATTCTTTTCTCAGATCTAAAGTGGGTGCTTTGCTTAGGGACTGAGCAATCAGCATATCTATGGTGATTGGTCCAGGGACAGACACACGACCCAAGCTGGACCAATGAGGATCAGGTCTGGACATTTTAGGGTAATTATTAGAAATCTAGTAAGTCTTCTAGGATCGCTACACTGCAAGAATATATGTATGGCTGAATCTTATGTTCTTCATTAACTTGTGACATTTCTTGCCACATTTCACCTTTCTGGAAATGAAGCAAACCCAGGGGAAAACAGACAGGTGAGAGAGACCCAGCCTGCCAAGATGCCGTTTGAGAGTGTTCTTGTCTACACTTGAGCTCTGCAGACACCTGAGCAGATACATTCCCTCTTTCCTTGCACCAGTTTAAATTGCATTTCTGCTACTTGCATCCCCCAAAGCCCAGACTCTTCACATGGCCTGAGTGGACAGGCTCCTGCCTCTCTCCCCTCATCTTGTGTTACAACCCCCTTGTTCTCTGTCTTGTAGCTGTTCTGACCTTTTGTCAGTTCCTAGAAAAAATCCACACTCTTTTCTACTCAAAGGACTTTGTTCTTACTGTTCTCTTTCTTCCAAATGTCCTTCATGGGTTCCTTCTCCACCTTCAGATCTCTGCCTAACCGCTCCTCAGAAGCTCCCCTAACTATCCCATACTGACACACGGCTCGCACACTAGACCGCAAGTTCCCCTGGGGCAGGGACCACATGTGACCTGTTCGGGTTTATTACATCAGTGCCTGGCATTGTGCCTGGTAGGTAGTCAATGTTACAGAAATATCTGTGGGCAGATTTCTTGAATGTGCCATATTTGTTCTGCTTTTCCCTCTGCCTAGAATTTTCCTTCCTTAATTCTTTGCATAGCCAGCTTCTTCTTCTTTCAGTCTCAACCCAAATACCATCTTCTCAGGAGGGCCTTCCCTGATCATAAAGTCTGGAAAAAAAATACCTCTCTTCCTATCCTTTCTATTACATTGTCTAGTTCTATATTCTTCGTCATACTTATCATGCCTTGAGATTATCTTGCTCAATTTTCCATTTATTTATTTATTTTCTGTCCCCAAGCAGAATATAAGCTCTATGAGATCAGAGATTGTCTTCATCCGAGCTTCATCCCTGCTGCCCTTGGCAGCGCCTGGCACATTACAGGATCTCCCTAAATATACGTTTGTTTTATCGAATGGATGAGTGAATGAAAGTCAAACACTACAGATTGCACTCATTTGTATGCTTTGCCTCATTTAATCCTCACAATTGCGTGAAATAAGCACTATCATACTATTAATTAGTTTCATATCACAGGGAAGAAAACTAAGTCTTAGAGAGACAATGTCATTTGTCACATTGTTAGTAATTTGAGAAGCTGGAATTCAAATCCAGATATGCCTGTTCTGTGGATGACAATTCATTTTCTATCTCTTAAAAATATCTGCTTTATTTCTCATAATGCCAAGTAGAAAAATAGGGTTCCTACTCCCCACTCGCCCTCCCCCACTAACCCATTAACCTTATCCTTATGGCTACGGGCAGCTGGACAGATGTAGCTCCTGCAACCTCAGCTGCATGGGGTAGGGCCTGCCCTGCTGGGTTCACTACACACAGGAAGCAGGAGAGTGCTTCCAGCTCCAAAAGGAGAGCCAAGACAGGCTGGCCTGGGCACGCACCAGGAACTTTTCCCCAAACTTCGCTGATCAGAAGAGTCTCTCTCTTCCCAAGGGACTGGAGCCAGAGGAGGTAAGAGAAAGAGAGGTCTGAGGAAAAGGGCAAAACTGTTTTCCTAATACTTCCAAGAGGGCCAAAGTTCTTGTTTAGTGGATGGAGGCAATAACACAGGGAGAGGGAGAAATTTCCCCAGCTTCAGCCCTCAATTATAAGAGAAAAACTCTTAAGTTGCCATTGATGTTGGAGACTCTGGAGTATGGAGCACTATCTATACTAGCAGTATCAGGGCTCAGCTCAGCCAACACAGGTAGTCATATCACTCCTAAAAAATCACTTGGCTCCTCTATACTACTTTTAGGGTCACGTTTAAACTCCTCTGGGCAAGGCCCTCCATGAGCAGCCCCGGCCCCTCTGCAATCTTATCTCCTGGTCCCCTGCTGGCAACCCCACAGCCATGGTGGTGGAGCCATGAACATCTTACAATTCTTCACATCGCTAAGCCATTGCGCATGTCATTTCTTCCCTGTCTGGCTAATTCCTATTCAGCTCTCAAGATTAGGCAGTTAACCACGAGTAGCTCGAAGGCAGGTTATGAACCCTGGGCTTCTCAGAGTGGCTGCCTTGAATGAGTTTCAAGAAGGTGGCTGAAAGGCAACCTTGCTTGGAAGCCTTCCTGGAACCCACAGGCAGTGGTTCTCAAAGCATTCCAGTGCATCTCTATTTATAATTCTTAAGCTACACTTTACATGTTGTTTCCCTTTCTTTCTGACAAAAGAGGTTGTGTCTTGTGCATCAACATATCTCCAGTGTTAAGGCTCAGTACCTAGCACATAGTAGGTACATGATAAATAATTTTTGAATAAAACCTCTTTGAACCTGTACAAAGTAGAAAGCATTGTGCTAAGCACTATTGGGGAATATAAACAAGTGTATCTGATCTTAATGAAATGACAGTCCACGGGAACAAGACATGAAAGGTTGACAATGTATTCTAAGAGGCACTGTGAGATAACTTGAAGAAAATGCTATAGAAATTTAAAAGAGGGAGGGACCATTTCTGAATTGCTTATAGTAATAACAATGACCACATACCCTCCTTTCCACCTGGAAATTGACTCTTATCTGTTAACTATTTTCTTAATAGGTTTAGAAGCATCTTTCATTGTGTGTCTTGGATCTGTTTTAAAAGTAGGTGGGGCATAAATAATAAATAAAGAAAATAATGCCCAACGCAGGGTGATCAGGCTTGGAAGGCCCTTTGAGTTGTGGGCTCAGACGCTATCCTAAAAGTTTGACTTGGTGTTAAGGGGTGGGGTTCTAAGTTAGAGATAGCAGGGTTTAGATTCTACACTGAAAGGAAGCAGCTGGTGAGCCCTGGAAAAAGTTGAAGGAAAGTGGTAACGAAAATGGATGCTTCCCCAGTCCCTCCGGGGATAGCTCTACTGTCTGTCCCCAAGACTCTTGAAGACTTCCGGGCACCTCCTGGGAAGCAGAGAAATGAAATATTTGAGTCCAAACAAGTAAATGGCATAGACAAATTATCTTCTTTCCCATTGGGAGCATTTGGTCTAAAATCTGATTTGTGCCTAGGAATTATCAGTCCAGAATTTTCATTATTTTAGAGGATTGATATTCCATAGTTCGGTAGGATCTGTCACTTGAGTTTAGTGAATATCTCAGGACAACACATGGCAGGCCATGGTTAACTGGTTGGATAGGTCTGTTAAACTGAATTCTTATTCAAATATGAGCATCTCTGATTCTGTTTCTGACCGTAGGTGACTTTAATTCCAAACTGAATTTTCCCAATATTTCTGTTACATGGGGCATGGAAGAGAAAGTTTGTTGTGGGGTTTTAAACATAAAGGATTTAAGAGCTGGGATGGGCCTTCTGGGTCAATATGTAAATTAAGACATACAGAAATCTCATTTTCTTTTTCTTCTTTTTCGTAAAAGAGGAAGTGGAGAGAAAGGAGGATACATAACTTGAACACAAAGTCTGGCTTTTCTAAAATGCCCCAGGTCCTCGCTCTATTTTAAACTCAATAATTCTCATGGCATCGTTCATGTGGAATTAATCACAGCTTGGTGACATCTTAGAAATAGTTTCGTGTTGCTTTTAACTACTCAACTTTTTATGCCTGTGCGTTTGGTACTCTCGGATACTAGGCTACCAGAAGGAAGGTGCTATCTCTTCTTGATGTTCGATCTCCCTTCAACGTCTAGCACAGTGCCTTGCTCAAGAAATGCTTGTTAAGGAATTAACGAATAATCCTTGGAAGGAAAGATGTAAAGATGAAATTTATGTCTCTCACGGTGAGAACGTGCATTTTCTCCGTTTATTTAAGATATGAATCAGCTAGTCAGCGTAAATTGCGCTTTTTATATATGCTCCCTAGGTGTAGGTAAGAGCTTCTGCTGAGATTGAGAAATTCGTCTCAGGAGGATAGCAAAGTGGGCGGGGATCTGGAAGGCTCGGGACCTCGAGGAGGAGGCGGAGTCACGGGGAGTTTGAGCCTTTCTGTCCAATCAAAAGGAGTCGGTAGGAGCCCGAGGGGGAGGCAGAGGGGGAGCGGGAGATCAAGAATCCTGCCCAGTTACGCGAGCCCGCCGGCCCGAACGGCAGCTTCTCAGCTCGGGTGCTTGTGCCCACGGACAGCGGCCGACTCCGAGGCTGACTCCAGCAATGGCCTTTGCAAATCTGCGGAAAGTGCTCATCAGTGACAGCCTGGACCCTTGCTGCCGCAAGATCCTGCAAGATGGAGGGCTGCAGGTAGTGGAGAAGCAGAACCTGAGCAAAGAGGAGCTGATAGCTGAGCTGCAGGTAAGGCGAGCGGGAGAAAAGCGAGGTCTTCAGGGCAACCTCTGCCAAAACCAGCTGGCTGCGCTCGGGCCAGCACGCCCCCTCCCGTGTCCCCTGTGTCAGTTCCGGGGCCTCCAGAGATTGGGGGATAGCGAGGGGTAGGGGAGAAGGAGGAAGAAACGAACGCCGGCGAGCTGCAGGATGCAAACTTTCCATGCGGTTTGCAACCGCGTGTTTGGCGTTGGCTTGCCTCCCGCGAGCATTGCAAAGTGCAGGCTGCTCCAACTGGTCCTGCAGGCTGCTCGCGGGATGCCAGCACTGCTCCCTGCGCCTTCGTGCGCAGCGGCCCAGGCAGCCGGGTGCCGTCTCCCTCCACCTCCCCCACGCGCGAGGGCTTCGGAGGAGGGGCACCAAAGTGGCCTCTCTGCCAAGAACCCGGGGACCGGCGACTCTTCCCGAACCAAGTCCTGGCCCGCCCAGCGGATTCCAGCCTCCCCTGCAGGGCGCTGGCGCAGTCCCAGCCAGTCTCGTGGCTGCTGGGGAGCTGCTGGGGAAGGCGGCCCTCCTGGGGCAGCAAATGCGTACCCGCCTCTCGTCTGATGCAAGACTGCAGCGAGCTTTCACCGCCCCTCGGCCTCCGGGAGCCCTTGGAGGAAATGGGGTGGGCCAGGGACCTGCGGTCCAGGCTTAGCCTCCATCCGGGCCCGGGCTCAAGGCCTTACCTTTGGCTTCCTGCCTGGTTAGGAGAGACCATACTGGAGTAGAATCCGATCCCAACACACCCTCACCCCTCGAGGAAATTTATAGTCTCAGTAAATCTTAGAAACATATCTCCATTTGTTGTGATATACGATTGATTAAACCTATTTCAAATCTTTACCTTGTTTGAAAAGATCCTGCAAGGTTTGGTGGCCTTGGCCAGTACATTTATTTTGTGAACTCTCCACTCCAGTGCCTGCACTTCCTACCTCTTGCGATCCACCCAGCTGCCCAGAGCCTGTGCCTCACCCCGTGGGAGGCATTCTCCCCACACCCGCACCGTGGCGCAGTGGTTTGGGAAGCAGCAGGCTAGTTGGGGAGCATGGCAGACACGCGGAGGCAGCTGAGCCCACGACCCTCCAGCTGCCTGCTTCTCTGCTGCAAAAGTGGAGAGAGGAGAGCCTCCTCACACTCGTCACCTCCTTTCCTGTGTGAAGGTAGCAATAGCTCTGGGCAATGCCCAGGAAGGCAGTGGCGTGGCCTCCAGACCAGCTGCAGACCCTCAGACTCCACCAAAGCACCAGATTGGGAAGAGTAGCCTCCATTAGGGGCTCTGCAGCTCTCTGATGGATATTAGAAATCTTATGCCCCAGTGAAGGGGCCAAGGAAGAGTTGACGACCGGTCATGGGTTCCGTGAAGTCAGGAGTTGGCTGGGTGGGTGCTGGGAGTCTGTGCTGAAACTTGGAGAACTTTTTAAAGGCACTTAAAACCCTTGGCAGGAGAGAGGGAGTGTTGGTTGTCTAACTGGACTGCTGGGCATCGTTGGGCTGTTCAGGGGGGCTCAGCTTTCATGCCTGTCTTTGTAAACCATTTGGTTCAGAATACCAATGAGTCTCCCTGGGCAGCCTGCCGAAAGGTCCTCGTTTCTGCACTCTGCCTTTTTCTTCTGCATGTAGAGTCATCTGGCATAGTGTCTCCTGCCCTCCCCATTTAAATCTTTTTAATGCTGAAAGACGCTTTAGCACCATTCCTTGGTTCCCACATTTGCTCTCTCTCACTCCCCAGTCAGGAAGTGCAATCATCCCTCCCTTCCCTCTCAATGGTGCTTTTCAGACTGGAAGCAAGTCACAGCTGGGTGTCATGAGGCATGACCAGCATTTTAAAGAGCAAAGTAGGAAATATCAGAGAGCAATACAGACAGTAAGGCTATAAGTATTGTTTCATGAACTTTGTTTCAATTATGTGTGTGTATGGGGAGGTATAAAACCACAATATAAAGATGTATTTCTTATTGCAGGTCTCCGTCAAAAACATTTGGAAAACACTGGCTTAGAATAGTAAAGCATCCTGTTCAGAGCTCACATCTTAAACCTAATATGCAGAAAAACATTTATTTAGTCTTAGCATGCATCAGTGGCTTTTAAACTTTGACAATGATCCACAATAAGAAATTCCTTTTATATCATAACTCTTTATACTCATACATATATGTACACACATAACATACACACAGGTTTTATGAAGCGATACTACATCTGATGCATTCTGATATTTTCTTCTGTTTTGTTAAATAACAGTGCTAAAGGACCACTAAATTGAACAATGGTAATGCATTTAAGTTACTGAAACACAGTTATATCTTTATATCTCAGAATTTTAAGAAAAATTAAGAAAGGAAGGTGGCTCACGCCTGTAATCCTAGCACTCTGGGAGGCCGAGGTGGGTGGATCACGCAAGGTCAGGAGTTTGACACCAGCCTGAGCAAGAGCGAGATCCTGTCTGTACTAAAAAATAGGAAGAAATTAGCTGGACAACTAAAAATATATATATATATATATCCAGGCATGGTGGCACATGTCTGTAGTCCCAGCTACTTAGGAGGCTGAGGCAGGAGGATCACTTGAGCCCAGGAGTTTGAGGTTGCTGTGAGCTAGGCTAATGCCATGGCACTCTAGCTGGGGCAACAGAGCCAGACTCTGTCTCAAAGAAAAAAAAGATTAAGAAGGGAATAAATCTTTCTGTGCAAGAGTTCATCTTTTCAAGGGCTCTTTAAAGACAACAAGTTCCCAGCTTTTACACAGAATTTAGTTTATAAAAGTTAAATGGTCACCTGGTCGAACAGGAATATAGGGTATATCTGCCTCCTCTGTAGCTGGGGAATAGGACTTGGAGTGTTTCAATGACTGATTTAAGACAGAGGCAGGAGCCATGCTAGAATTACCCCTAAGGCCAAGTCTGTCCTCTTGGGAAAGAAAGCTTGTGTGAACTTGAGGAATGAGAATAGGTTTCCACAGCTGAATTAGCATAGTTTGTCTGGAACTGGCATAAATCAAGCAGTTTTCCAGCTGAAAGGCAGCTAAGGGCAGAGGGATGGGGAGGACGATGTGCAGGGAGTATGGGAAGTGCCAGTTCCAGCCACATTAGGATATAGAAGGGATACAGAAACCACACCAGAGAGCAGTAAACTGCAGAATGTTGAGACTTGCATTCTCAGCCAGGAAGTGCCAAAGAGAAGGGAGGACCTCAGGGCCCTGGGGAAGAAAGTTCTAATCGCCAACTGCCAACTGCACCGAGGATGTGAGCAGAAGTGGGCTTTTGATAGTTTGCAGAAGTAGAGGAGAGAGCTGGCAGGGAGCAAAGTCTTTGAAGGAGAAGATTTATAGCCTGAGGCAGGAGGGACCTTGGAGTGCAGGGGTTACAGGGCTCAGCGGGAGGTGGGTTGGCTGTCAGTAAATGTGTGCTGATTGGATGAGTGGATAGAGCAGGTGGGTGAGCTTCTAACACGCTGTCTGGGAACTGCTGTCTGGGAACTCGGTTCTAATGTGGGGGCCAGGGTCTCCTGAATGGGAGTCTCCAAAGGCAGATTCCACCCTGGGGACAGGTGAGCTTTGACACATGTCTGTACCAGTCATATTGGAGATTCTTAGATTCCCTGGCATCAAAGAAGGCTGGTTCGAGGGAAAAGTGGAGACACTACGGGATATATCTCTGTAAGGGAGATCCATCCAGAGAGACTGATCATTAAAGAAAAAATAGTGCTGTTTCTGTGTTTGTTCTCAGTGACTGCAAGGAGGGGTGGACTGCTGGGGTGTCTGCAGTCCCTAGAGCTTGTATTTCCTGTGCAAGCAGATTGGCCAGGTTTGGGAAGCATGGTGGCCACTTTGGAGAGAGCACTGAAGGGCCCAGGGGAATGATTGGGGCCTGAGACATGGGCCCTGGAACTCGATACTAGAGAAGAAGGATGATAAGATGACTCTGGGTGGTCCCTGCTCCACTTGCTCCCTCCCCCCTTATCAGTTGAACTTTGACCTTTGGTCCTGGGTTGACCACTTCAAAGGGGGTTTATTTCCTCAGTGCGTTACCCATTACCTAAGGTGTCCTTGCTGGTTGCAAAGGAATGCACGCTAAAAATTGCTCATGCACCGCCCAGCTGCCCTCCAAAAAAGTTGTGCAGTGTGCACTTCTGTTCCCCTCCATACTCACCAACACTGAATATTGTCAATTTTCTTATTTCTGATGGGGGATTTTCGGGCACACAGAGTGTTGAGATTACTTGGGGAAGGATGGTGGGTGTGAGGATGGGGGCCGGTGTGGGTAGGTTTCCCTGGGCCTCTCACATCACTGAATTCATTTAATCAGTGGGAGTGGTTTATTACCAACCATGAGCTCGCCTATAACCTAAAGGCAAGTTGCTCTTCTAGTTAGAGGCATTTGTCTCTACCGTCCCCCAAAGGCAGGCTGGCTGGGAGGAGCAGGTTATCAGGCGATCGGGACACCTTTGTTAAGGACCCTACATGCCATCTTGGAGAAGCCAAACAATTTCTGGAGTGTGTCTCTAGGTTCAGCTGTGGTTAAATGCTGTGTTTGGGAGATAGTTGAGAACTTGGACTTTGGTGCTCAACAGCCTTGGACTTGATTCCAGCTTCTGCCATATCGTAGGTATGTGACCTCAGCAAGGTCACATAGCTAAATTCTTTACATGTCAGCTTACTTCTCTGTTAGGTGGGGATACGTATAGTATCTGTCTCAGGATTGTTGTAAAGCTCAGTGCCTGACATAAAGTACTTGCTCAAAAAATGGTAGCTATTATGACTGGTATATCCCTCCAACAGATTTTATGGTTTGGTTTCTGCACCCAGCTGACTGTAGCCTTGGCTCAGGCCTTACAATTTTGACATCTTGGCAGGCCCACCAGCTCTTCCTTTATTACAGCCTCAGATTTGGCCAATGACAATGACTTTCCAGTTCTTGGGGCTAGTTTTTTGGCCTGTAAGAGTGACCTTGGGCAGGTTACCTCTCAAAGCCTCTGTTTCTTCATCTGAAAAATGGGGATAATTATGCCTATTCTCCTTGGAGTGAGGTGACCGTCCATGGTGACCTACCCCGTCATTGGCAAGCCCAGGACTAGAACCCTCCCTGGCTTCCTGATTTTTGGTTTGGTGCTTTTGCAACTATGCTTGCTGTTTTCTCACCAACTTGGGACAGCCAACTGGGACAGAGTGTGGACTTGTTCACCTGCTCCATTTCTTGGGGCTTCTCATTTAGTGTTTGGGCAAGAACATCCTTATTCTGGGAAGATACAACATACCCCAGGTTTCTGGGTGAGTCTGAGGAAGGGCTCTAACTTAGTGCAAGTATAGTGGCCATGATGAATTCAGTGTCTTATTTTTTGCATATGTATATTTTAGTCAAATATTGCCTAGGTCTCTAAGCAACTGAAGATGAGTTTAATTGCTGTTATGGCCCTCTCCTCCCCCTTACTTTGGTCTCAACTTCAGGAAATGTTTTTCTTTCAACCATTGTTTCATTGACTTCATTTACTCATTCAGCCAACCAATTACTGAGTGCCTTCTGTGTGTCGGGCCCAGGGGCTTACAAAGTGGAGTCAGATCCCCCCTGCCCGTCTGTAGGTCGACGAGCATCTAATGGAGGAAGTGATGTTCATTAAGCACGGCCAGGTATTGTCCCAGGTGCTGTACCTGTCCTAGCTCATTTCCTGCTCACACCCTTGAGGAAGCTGAAGCTCAGATTCATAGCTGGTCAGGGATGGAGCTTAGATTTGAACCCAAGCTTGATTGATGGCACAGCCTTTCAGATGTGACTACAAATGACATTGCCTTTCTTTCTTTCAATTTATCCAAAGCCAGCCAGCCTGGAAGAACTGCCACTTTGAGGAAAGCAGTGTGCAGGAATGATAGGGTGTGCAGAAAGGAGTAGGAAATGGTCCTTGACTTCATCGTGTGTCTGATAGACACGCCAAGCGTTCATCCAGGAAGGGCTGGCCCTGGGCACGCCCCAGGCTGCAGGTATTGTGGTGCTCTCTAGAGAGATGAGCTAGGCGCCCAGGGACTGATGCTCCCTCTTGCTGGGCATGCCAGGGAAAATGGTTGGTGTGTTAGAGCTGCAGTCTCCCCCCTCTAAATGAAAATCATCATGGGTCCTAGTCCACCCTTCCCTGCAGTCTGTAGTGAGGATGCCAGAGACGTCTATGAGCATCCATCATCAATGACTTCCCATCGTTCTGGGAGCGCACCTCTTACCCAAGCGTAAGCCATGATGTGCCTGAGGTTTTAGGAAGCCTTGCAGAAGGACTTTGTAGACCCAAGTGTTTCTTCTGCCTCAGGATTGCGAAGGCCTTATCGTGCGCTCAGCCACCAAAGTGACCGCTGATGTCATCAGTGCAGCCGAGAATCTCCAGGTGGTGGGCAGGGCTGGCACGGGCGTGGACAATGTGGATCTGGAGGCCGCGACAAGGAAGGGCATCCTGGTCATGAAGTAAGTCTTGGAGGGACGGGTGCAGAAACTGTCCAGGACATGGGGGGAATCACACAGTAGAGAAAGCAGAATGAGTTAGAAGGGCTTCCAGGAGGGAGCCTTGTCTAGGGCCTGGGTCCAGACAAGTGGGCCACACTGACAGCCTAGTGGCTCCCAAGGCTTTTGAGATTGAGGCCTTCTGAGTGATCTCAACATGTTTCACAAACCCACCCCACGTGCAATGCTTGCACCTCTGCAGCCTGGCTCGGGAGTCAGAAGCACGTAAGTGAATTTATCTGCATTCTCTGCAGAAGCTCTGTCCTCTTTGCCTCCTTTGCTCTGTTCCTGGAAGATTTTTTTTTTAGCTGTACACACAACCTGTTTTAGCTGATGCACAACCTTTGCTAGTAGACTATCGACTCTACATTCTTCCTATTCCTCATTGCCCTGCACCCTTCTGGAGCTGAGACCCCAGTTTCTCTTGCAGTGCTTCCGGGTCAAGAGAAGGGTCTCCTTTAGAGCTGTTTTTGCAGAAGCCCAGGGACAGAGGTCGTTGTCAGCATGCCTGTGCTGTGCTGTACCTTTTCTGGCACTCAAGTGGTGTGGCAAGGCCATCCCCAGACCTCTTCTCTGTCCTCAGCCTTTTCCCTGGGGGACCTCACTGTCCTCAAGACTCCCCCCACCCCACCCCCTTGTCTAACTTCCCCATGCACTTCCCCCTGGAGGGTAGGGGTTAATTGACAGGCACCTGACTGAGGTCAATATCCGACAGCAGAAATGTTAAACGATAACCCATCCCACATCCTTGCCCTGGACTCGAGGCAGCCAGCCCCCAGCCTCCACACCTCTGCCCCCTCCCCTACGCAGCTGTTGGGGGGGGGGGGACAACGAGAAGCCAGGTGGCTTCGCAGAAAGACAGTCTCTGAGAGTCCTTTTATCTTATACAGCATCTCTTGACTTTTTTTCCTTGTGATCTTTAGTTCTAGAGATGAGAAGACAGACCCAGTAGGGGAGGAAGGAAGGTGAACATGTAGGTTGAATTCTTTAAAAAGCATAAAAGGACCTTTGAGAAAAGAAAAACAGCTTTGTGCATTGCCACCTCTGTTCTCCTTTCTATAAAATGGGCAGTCTGCATTGCCTGTGAGTTAGGGTGTGAGAAGGCTTTCCTTAGTGAGAGACAGGAGGAGAGGTCAAACAGGTGGAGGTGAAAATATTAGCTTTGTTACTCATGAAAGCCATGCTGGGTAACTTGATGAAGATCTGTGGGCAGTGGGCCGAGCTCTGAACCCAAGACACTTGCTCAGTCATCACGGGCTCGGCGTGGAGCGGCAGGGCATTTGTGCTGTCCGTGGGCAGGTAGATCCTAAGATGAGAGCAGAGAGAAAAGGGCTGAGCCACACACAAATCTCCAGCTCACTTGAGACATTTCTCCTCTGCCTGGGGAGGAGCAAGTGAGTTTGGGCAGAGAGGCCAGATGTGTTTCTCTAATGGAGGTCCCCCCCAACAGGGAAGCATAAAGCCAGGGCCAGGGGCTTTCTTTCCAGGCCTGGGCGTAAGGCCAGAGTACGGGAGAGAATCCAGGAGGACAGAATGGGGTTGGGGGTTTGTACTAAGAACTGGTCAGCTCATGTGCAGGAGAGAGATCACAGCCTGCACTCAAGGCTTTCTCTGGGGGTGGGAGTGGGAACACTGAGTCTTGGCCCACTGACATCACCCCTTTTCTTTGATCTTTAGCACCCCCAATGGGAACAGCCTCAGTGCTGCGGAGCTCACCTGTGGGATGATCATGTGCCTGGCCAGGTAAGTCCCTGACTTCTCAGCAGAGCCAGTCTCCGTTATGCCGATTCTCACCACTTGTCTAGCAAACTGATTCAGAGAAACTCAGAAACATTTCAGCCTGGCGACGTGCAGACTACTGACAGCCTTCAAGGCCATCAGTCCTGTTCTCAGCATTCATTACATAGGTTCCCTAGTACAGAAAAGCCAGGTGGCTTCTCAGGTGTCCAGTGACTGCATACGGGGAGGGCAGTAGATACAGCCATTGCTTGTTACCCTGGAGCAGGCTCACTGGGGAATAAGGGCCTGCATGGCATGATTTTTCTTCTGTTTCTCCTCACTCATTTCCCACTCCACATGCAGACACTGTTCCTTCTCTAGCCGCTCACTTGCAAACGCTCTCCATACCCAGCTGCCTGGAGCATCTTTCTCCATTGTTTGTCTAGGTATTCTCTGCTTATTTTTCAGGATTAAGCTCAAGTGTCAATTCATCATCCAAGGAGTTTGAGGTTGCTGTGAGCTAGGCTGATGCCACGGCACTCTAGCCTGGGCAACAAAGCGAGATTCTGTCTCAAAAAAAAAAATTCATCATCCAAGCATCTCTCTCTGGCTTCCCCAGCTGTGCTGTGCCCCTCACTGATTCCCCTGTCCCCAGGGCTTACTTCTGTCACTGTCCTTACAAATCTGTATTTTAACAGAACGAAATACAAACCTGTTTCGGGATCCCCGTGTCTACCTGTGGCTTCATAACACAGTAGAATGCAAATGGTCAAATCTCGTGCTCTTCCAGCAGGAGTCCTACAAGGTATGGGCCTCTCGAGTAGAGGGGACAGCCTAGAAACCAAAAGGATGTGGCTCATAATGTGCACAAGTCCTATTGTGTTAGGTGGTGATTTGGCAAAACTGGTTGCATTGAGCCCTTCTGTTGAACAGGCAGTTTGAGCATTTCTGCGGTCGGTGGGAAGTGCAAGCTTCCCAGTAAACAAGGCAGGAAGCTGTTCTAGGTCCCTTCGAAGATCCTTGGATCCTTAAACCAGGGGATTTAGGCAGTAAGGTCTCTTTCATTCAGGTCTGAAACCTTCTAAGACCAAACCTTCTAGGAAATAACCTTTTTCTCATCTTAAGACCTGCTTTCTCTCCTGCTGGGGGAGGATCTGGAGAGTTAACCTTTGCTCTAACTCATCCTCAAGCTATCTACCTGAGATCCCAGGTATGTGCGGATCCTCACTGGTCGGTGAAGGGGGACGGTGGGGAAAAGGAGACGCAGGGCAGCTTACACAACAGAAGGGTTAGGGTTATGGTTAGTGTTAGTGTTAGGGTTAGGGTTAGGGTTAGGGTTAGGGTTAGGGTTAGGGTTAGGGTTAGGAGACCAGAGCTGGCCAACTGGATCTCCCAGGCCATCTTGGCTGAGTATATCTCCCCCTGGGGAAGTACAGAACCCTGGTGTCCTGGTTTCACTTGAGCTGTTAAATTCGGTGATTTTAATTTATTTTATTGAGTGGGGAGGGATCTCGCTCAGCTTTCTATCTAAGTAATTACTTCACTTTTATTTTCTGGAGGTGGAAGGAAGGGATGGGGATCCAGGAGTAATTTCCCTGCTAGTCCAGGGCCAGCTTTATTTAAAGGAACAGGTGAAGTGCTGTGATTTGAAGGCCGCTTTCTGTTCTCAACCACTCTTGTCCATGACCTCACTCATCAAATATGCATCAGTACTCAGGAATACACACCCCTTTGAGAAGCCATCACCAGTGCCTTTTTCTCCCTGCAACCTATTGCATGTTGACGCCATCAGGGGGGTTCCTGGCAGGGAAGCAGAGGGGGCAGGGGTGCTACAAATGGTCACACCGCGCAGTGAGGGTGGAGAGCGGGCCCAACGGAGACTCATGGTGGGGACCTTGAGCAGACGCCAGGAGCTCCTGAGGTCAGGGGAAAGGGGAGAGTGCAGCAAATGCCGGGGTCACCGTTTTTGCCTGCTTCACCTCCTCGTGTAGGTCAGGCCAGCTACATTTAACTCTCAGGAGGCCCCTTGCCTGCATCGTGGTCCTCCCCAATCTGGCCTGGTGAGGACCCCCAAGTGTTGAAAATATTGAGACCAGCTGAGTACAGCTGCAATGGCGGGGCGGGGGGTGGGGGGATTGAGGATTTCCTGTGCTCTGTGATGTCGCACACACGTCTCAGCACTGTGGAGACAGGTGGGCAGAAAATAGGATGCGACAGAGAGGCAGGCAGGCCCTGTCTCACTAGGTCCAAGGCTGGCTTTCCTCAGAAGCCAGCAGATCCTCAAGGCACGTCACTGCCCTCATTACATTCCGGGAACGAGGCCCGGCTCCCGAGGCCTGTTGGCCCAGAGCAGCGAGGTGGAGCCCGTGCCCCTGGGGGCCTGTTACTTGAGCCCTGTTGAGCTGACCGTAAGATCACAGGCTCTGTGATGTAGGGGACACGTTCCACCCGCAGCATTACTCTCAGATGCGAATCTATCTCCTGGCGATGTGCAGACACGAAAGAATGTTTGTGTATTAGAAGTTGGTCGAGTGAAGGTACAGGAACAGGATCTTGGAATCTCTCTTTTTACACACGTACACTCTCACACTTACACACTGAGTTTTTGGCCGGCAGGAAGGCCTGCATTTCAGTACTTAGGAGGCTGGCTGTGGTGGGGATGCCTGTCCTGGCTTTGAACCTATCCAGGTACTTCCAGCAGGGTGATGCCGGCAAGTTGGTTGGCACCGGTGCCGCCTTCCATGCAGTTGTGAACTTCAGAGGAGCTCATGTGCGTCTGCACATTTCTTGTGCGATATCTAGAGTAGAGAGGGTGCTCCTTAAACAATGTTTCTCATCCCTCCCTCTTTTGCCCCCAGAGATGCCTTGCTGACCCTTGTCCCCCATGATATATCTTACCCTTTGACCTCTGATTTTGCCCTAATTGCTGCTTTCTCTGTCCCCTCCAGAAAACACACATGGAGACTCAGACCTCTGTATGAACCATAGGCTGTGAGTGAGTGAGTGAGTGTGTGTTTGTATGAGAGTGTGTGTGAGTGTGAGAGTGTGTGAGTGTTTGTGTGGTGGGCCAGGATGTTAGAAGTGTAGGGACCGGGTCATTCAGGACAGAATGGAAGTGTCTGGACTGTGGCCCACTCTAGACTCGAGTAAGACCCTTGTGGCTTAAGAAACGCTCAGGGAAGAATGAGTAATTAGGTAGAAGACATTGCAGGTTGTGGTACTGGGTGAGATAGGAAGATGAAAATAATTCCTTGAACGACTGGAGCACTTGATGTCACCACAGTCACCCAGTAGCCCACTCAGTTATCCCTGCAAACATGGAGGACTGACCATGGCCTAGAGGAGAAAATTCTCCCAGAGTCATTCTGATTGGGACCTCAGTGGCCAACGTGGAATCAGAACCTCCAGACTCCCAGCTGGAGACAGAAATCCCAGACTTCCCAAATCAGGCCTTGCCCAAGGTTTCCCTCTCCTACCCTCCTTTGCCCCCTTGGTGTTTCTGAACCTGAATCCCCAGACTCAGTCTGAGCCTGGTTTCTGGGGCAGTGACCATCGTGGGCAGTGGCTGTGCAGGCCTGATATTGCACCTCACTTCCTGGGCTGGCGGGGTCTGCTGACCTGTGTCTGTCTTTGCAGGCAGATTCCCCAGGCGACGGCTTCAATGAAGGATGGCAAGTGGGAGCGGAAGAAGGTGAGCAGCCGGCCTTGTCTCACCCCTTCTGTGCTCAGGGTCCGAGGTCCACTCATGGTGCTGACTTCAGCTTCTTTGCCTTTTGCCTGTTTGGTTACAGTTCATGGGAACAGAGCTGAATGGAAAGACCCTGGGTATTCTTGGCCTGGGCAGGATTGGGAGAGAGGTGGCCACCCGGATGCAGTCCTTTGGGATGAAGGTAAGAGGTCACTGGACCCCTTTGATGTGGGACTCTGTAGCAATTTTGGAAGAAGCAGCTTGGCTTAGGAGAAGACAAGGGCTTTGTTCTAGGAGGTTAGACCATCCTTTAGAGCCCCTGAGTAAACAGATGGTGAAGCCAGGGAGAGAGAGAATGTTGGCCTGCTGATGTGCACACTTGAACTCCAAAGCTGGGAGAACTTGGGGGAGTTCCTGTCCTACGTCTCTAGAGTGAGTGACAGCTCTGAGTCCCAGAGACCAGACGGGGTTCTGTGTCCTGCTCATCCTTTCTTCTCTTGCTATGAGGGCTTCCTGGTTTTGCTGTGTCTGCTGTCTTGTGATAATTAAGAAAACGAGAGCAACTTTATAGCTTTACAACAGAGCGATTGCCTGTCCATCCTTCTAGTTTCCCTCCACATTCCAGAAAAGACTTAAGGGTGCTTGTATATACACTGCGATGTGATTCTAGAGCCCACGGTGGCTGGAGCACCTCATGCGTGTCTCAGAAACCACGCTTGACCACTGCCTCTTATACTGTGGTTGCTCAGTAGGCTTCCGGCCGAGGGAAGGCTGCTATCAGTAGCAATGCCACCCCCTTAGGCCAATCCAGGAAATCTTGCAAACAGACAAAGCCATTATGCCAAGAGAGGGTGTTTGCAGAGCTGCCCAGATAGGCCAGAGAGACCAGGCAGCTAAGAAGAGGCTGGCGGGCATCTGGCATCTGTATGTTCACTGTGGCTGTTGAGGGAATTACAGGGATTATGGGCTCAAATTGCAGCCAGGAAGGCTGTAGTTAAACATTGAGGGAAACAGTTTAACAATCAGATCATCTCAGGTCTAGTAAAATTTACATAGAGCTGCCATGAAATTTTCTCTTTCTCTCCATCCCCCCTACCTTTTTTAAGTTAGAAGGAACATGGATTATTGCCATCCAGAATTGGTAAACCCAGGGACTCACAGCAAATGGACAGCAGTGAGAGCCTGGGTGGGCATCCTGTTATACACATTGAACATCTTCCTCTTCCTCCTGCCCCCAGTCCCTGCCTCACTTATGTAAGTGAGTCAGATGTCTTTCCTGAGCATCAGCCCTGGGCGAGGGGGCCTGGGGGTGCCAGCTATATTCTTCTAGATCCCTGAGAGCAGTGTGTGGCCCAGTGGGAGCCCTTTGACAACAAGCCACAGCCTTGTCCTCTGTGCAGGGGTAGTGGGATAGAGCACTTTCTCCTCCTTCTTCTTTTGTAAGGGATCAAACGCAAAGCTTAGACCATGGAGAATTCTGATCTTCTAAAAGCAGGGCTCAGGGGTAAGTAAAACTAAGAGCCCATGTAGCCAAACTGGTAAGCATTTCCTTGATGAAACAGCGACTCGAAGGCAGGCTCCAGGCCTGTGGCCATTCCATGGCTCCCACCCGCCCTCTCTGTGGCCCCCTTCCCCATGGTTCCCCTTCCCTGTGGCCCAGTTCCCCATAGTTCCCCTTCCCCAGGGCTCTCCTTTCTCATGGCCCCCTTCCCTGGACCCCATTCCCTGGCCCCTCTCCTTTCTCATGGCCCCCCTTCCCCATGGCCCCCATTTCTCTGGGGCTCTCCTTCCCCACATCTCATTCCCTGTGGCGCTGTGTATCAGACTGCTCTGGTTCAGGAACATTCATTGTCAGGGAGACTTTGGCAGTGACTTAAACCACACAGAAGCCCCACCTCATCCTGAATAATTGAGGGGATAGGCAAGCTTATCTGTTCCTCCAGCACCACTCGGCTGAGCCGCTGCCCCAGGCTGCTTCCGGGGGCACAGGGGCTTGTGCAACCTGGAGCATGGACATCAGGAAGTGACCGGCACCTCTCAGGCCTGTGTGTGATTCAGACAGACATCCAGAGCCTGCTCACTGCAGTGGTCACCTGTGGCTCGGGGTACATCACCAGTGACAGGCCTGAGGGCTTTATTCTCACGCCCAGCACTGCCCTGAGGGGGCTTCTGCCTTCACTTTGGGTTTCTTCCATCCAGATGTCTCTGGAGGTCACTCTCTGCTGCCTTGCTTCTGGTTAATGTCCTTCATAAACCCCAGAAATGTGGCTTGAAGTGTTTCCCCTCACGCTCAGCCAGCCCCTCCAGAGCTGCCTGGACCTGGCCATTCGGGAGGGTCCAAGTGGCCTGGCCCCCTGGTCAGCTGCTCACCCTGCCCACCGTGTGCCCTGTCACATTTCTGGGTCTGGATGCATTTTGTCTCAGGGCAGAGAGATCACCAACCTGTGTCATCCCAACTTCTGTCCATGTTTTAGCACTCGTGGATAGCAAGATTTTCTAAAGGGGAAGAAAGAATCTTGAACAAATTATGAAAGAGATAGTTCACAAGCATCCAGACAGGAGACAGTGCTCAGTGTTTATTAAACACAAATTGTTAAAAAAAATAAATAAATAAATAAACACAAATTGTTGCAAACTAGCTTCCTTCTCCCTTTGGAAGCCATTATTAAACAGTAGAACATGGAAATCTCTAGATGTCATATATCTGATTATTTAAAACTATATTTTAATCGTGTAATAAATGAATGCTTTCTCATAAAAATTAAGATATAGAGAAGGATCTTCTTGATTACCATCCCAATCCTAGGCTCCTCATGTTGACATCAGTTTGGCATGTGTCATCTCAGACTTTATGCATTTACACAGAATGCATAGATTAAATAGTTCCATCCCTATAGATGGCTTCTGCACCTGCAGAGAATAGAATATTGTGCATGGTGTTAAGATAAAAAGGTATGTCTTGGAATGACTAGATCTACCATATTTTTAAACTGTTTCGTGTAATTCTATGTGTATAAATGACTTTGTATTTGGCCATTCCCCCAATGATGGGTGTTTAGATTATTTGCAAATGTGGACTTTAGCAATGCATCGCTCATGATTCTCCTGGGGTTGGGATGGAGCATGTGAACTTGGCGCTGTTGAAGGGATTAGTAGGGGCTAGTAACTGGGTGAAGAACGGGCCAGTCTGGAGGGAGGTTGTACATGGCAGTGCAGGGCTCTGCCTTGTCCAACATTCTCATCAGCAGCCTGGACGATGTGTCATTGGTGGATGACAGGAAAAAAGGAAGAGGCAGTCAATACTTAAGAGTGGAGAATCGGGGCTGAAAAGACACAGGAAGGCTAGCGTGATTGGTCATCCCAACAGGAAATTTAGATAGAACACATTTCGGTGTCCTACACATGGGTCCAAAAGCAACTTGACAGGTTTCGGATGTATTCATAGTAGCATTTGCCAAAAGCTTTTCTGTGGGAGGAGGACTTCGGTTGACAACAGAGCAATGTGATTTACAATGGCATGGCTGATAGAAAAGGTAATGTGGCTTTTGGCAGCATTAAAAGAAATCTGGCTTCCAGAGCAAGGGAGGCGACATTTCTCGCTGCAGCCTCCTGGTGTTCATGTAGGCCTTGCACTCTGTGCTGCTCTTTCTGTGCGTGAAACTTTTTCTCAGTAGTTTGCCGAATAGCAGTTTGCAACCTTAGAGACTCAACTCGTTCATGCTGGCACGTTCCCCAGGATGTGTTAACAGGCCTGATCCAGTCAGGAGCCGAGCCTTGTACTGTCTTATCCAGTTTTTCCATGAGGGAGCAGACCAGCAACTGGTAACAGGTTCTTTGTGGCCACTGTCTTTCAAAGGGGTGGACGTGGAACCCAAAACACCGGTTGTCACCGATTCTTTCAGGTCCAGCTAATGTTTGCTGAGGTCTTCTGTATCAGTTCCTGTGCTCAGGAGTACATGCTGGGTCAATATTATTACCTCAGGTTTACAGATAAGGGAAGCGAGGTCCAGAAAGGTTCTACGACGTGCTGCAGATGATGTGACCAGTGAGTGCTGGAGTCCCGGTCAGTCACTCTCCTGACTTCCCATCTGGTGCTCTTTGCCCAGCGCCACTGTTTTCATTCACGATCTGTGATAGTAAATGGTTCCTCCTGAGCCTTGTCACTGTGCCCAGCTGTTACAAGCCCAGATATTGTCCAGTTCAGGGCAGGCAGCTCCTATCTCAGGCTGGTACCTGGAATCCTTACTGCCCCAGAGCAGTACGAATTTTCACTCTTCTCCAAGCCTCAAGCTCTGGCAAGGTGCCTTGGGGACACAGGTGGGAGCGAGGAGGGGTCAGAGAGACAGCAGGTGGTGGGACTTTGGGCCTCCACCTCTGTAGCTTTGAATTGATCTGTTTTTAATTCAGGTTTCTGTTTAAGATTCCACTGCAGCAAAAGGGGCAGTTCCAATGCTAAGCCAGAAAACGTGGCTACGGGCTGGAGAGGGGGTGTGACCAAAGGGTTCTTCATTGGAGCCCCTGTAACGTGAAGGCCTCCTTGCCCTCCCGTGCGCTCTGCTGAGCCAGCAGGGCCCTGGAGCCGGCGTGATCAGCCTCTCAGGGCTGCCTCCCATGACGGCAGCCAGGAGATGCCCTGGACTTCTGCTTGGAAACCTAGGTCTCCTCTGCTGCCTCAACTTCAGGAGTCTGTCCTGGGGCTGGAGCCGAGGTGGGGGAATCCCTTCATGCTTCTCCTCCCTAGGAGTAATCTCTGAGTTGTGTGTACCCAGAGGTGCTCCGACTTCTGCGTATTAGGATATCTGAGCCTTTCCAGAAACACATCAGCATGCTGGGAGGGACAGGTCTTCTGGGCCTGATGTCAGCCTTTCCACCCACCCAACATGGTCTCCTGGCGTAAGAGCCCCAACCTCTACCTGAGTGCAGCTCCCTTCTGCCCTGGCTTGCTCAAATGAAGAATAAGAACAGGGGTTTTCTGAGCCAGATTCTTACCCTGCAGTCATCTGCAGATAAATTACTCTCTTTCTATGAAAGAAAGGAGCTGGGTCAGTGCCTCACCGACTGCTGAGGAAGGTGCTCATCTGCTCGCCCCTCCAGCCCCGGGCACCTGCCCATGGGGCACTGGGCTGGGCGAAGCCTGTGGAGCCTCCTTTCTGCCAGCCCTGGCTGTTTCTTGGCCCCTGAGAGGGAGTAGGTGACAGGGCTCTGTGAACTGGCTCAGTCAGGCTCAGCCTGCAGTCTCTGTTGCTGTGTCCTCCTCCCCACGGCACAAGAGAGAAAATGCATCTGGATTAGAGATGAACAGGCCATTGTTCCGGCCAGCCTCAGAGCCAACAGACAGACGTGGCTTCTTCCTACAGGAAACGAGCAGGTCATATATGAGGAGACGGCAATGTCTGAAAAAGCCCTTCTTGGTGCTGTGGGCCGGTGGTCCTTATAGGACATGGAGGGGAGCATCTTTCCCCCAAAACCCCCACCTATGGCTGGGTAGGGCCTCTTGGCCTGTATTCCATAAGGCTAAAGATGAAAAATGTGATATAGAAGCTTTACCTTATAACCATTTGTAATTTCTTCTTAGAAGTACTGAATTTTAAATAGAAGCCCTCTTCTCCATTATGTTTTTTTTTTTTTTTTTTTTTTGAGACAGAGTCTCACTCTGTTGCCCGGGCTAGAGTGAGTGCCGTGGCGTCAGCCTGGCTCACAGCAACCTCAAACTCCTGGGCTCAAGCGATCCTTCTGCCTCAGCCTCCCGAGTAGCTGGGACTACAGGCATGTGCCACCATGCCCGGCTGATTTTTTCTATATATTTTTAGTTGACCAATTGATTTCTTTCTATTTTTTAGCAGAGACGGGGTCTTGCTCTTGCTCAGGCTGGTTTCCAACTCCTGACCTTGACCTATCTGCCTGCCTCGGCCTCCCAGAGTGCTAGGATTACAAGCGTGAGCCACCGCGCCCGGCCTTCTTCTCCATTATGTTTTAAAATAGCTTTTATGTTTCCCTAATTTCAAAAGTAATTCACGTACACGTGCCCTGCTCCCCGGACACCGTGCACACCCAGCTGGCTCGCCTCCCCGTCTGACCCAGGGGCGTCCAGCAGCGTCAGCACCCTGCGGAACAGTGTGGTGGAGAACTTAAAAAGCACAGGAAAGCACAAAAGGGGAAAAATAATCCCAGCACTCAGAGACAAGCGCTGTTACAGTATTGTATGCTGTGTGTTCTTTCTGTTTGTTTGTGTTTAACCCTGAGCCGGCTCTGAACGTTGCCCTCTCAGGGTCAAGAGGAATTTCTTTCTCTTCCAGTAATTTTGAATGAGTGAAGGTTAGAGCAGGCGATGACCAAACTGGCCCACCAGCCCAGGTGCAGAGGGCGGGATGACATGTGCCCTTGCGCACAGCTGACAGTCAGTGGGGGAGGACGCAGGCCCAGGTGCTCTGGCTTGGAGCACACCTGAGTCCTGTCTCCTGATCCTGCCCTGCTCCACTGCCGTCCTTCTGCCTCGCTTCTGCTCGCTCTGTTGAAATACTTGGTGCACCTGCTTGGTTTCTGGACCTATGGAGCCCCATGGCTGCATCTACCATCTCTCTTGATGACGCCACTGCTCCCAGGTCCAGCCACACATGCAGGCTGCTCTCGAGTGTGTGTGGTCAGAGAGTGGCGACAGACAGACCTCCCTCTGAGCCGTGGCTGTGCCCCCTCCCGGTTGAGTCAGCCTTGCTTCCTTTGCCTCTAAAGCAGACAGAAAAGTAGTACCAACCTTATTGTTTTGTCATGTTAATTAACATGGAGAATTAAATTATGCTCCACAAATGGTTGCTGTTGTTGATACTGACAATATTAATGATGAATAATGACTCTTCCTCCCTCTTTCTTGCTTCCCACCAGACTGTGGGGTATGACCCCATCATTTCTCCAGAGGTCTCGGCCTCCTTCGGAGTTCAGCAGCTGCCCCTGGAGGAGATCTGGCCTCTCTGTGATTTCATCACTGTGCACACGCCTCTCCTGCCTTCCACGACAGGTAGGTGTGTCCCTACTTTGTGGGTTGGCCATCGAAGCCACGGACCAGTTACCGTGGGCCCTCGGTCTGGGCCTTCTGCACAGGCTGGTAACCAGTTGCGGGGAGGGGCCCTGGGTCCTGCAGAACGCGCTGGTGCTATGCGATGCCCCTGCATCAGATGCAGGTGGGGCGAGCCAGCCGGAAATGTGCAGTGTCTGGGTGAGCTGGGCTCATATACAACCAGTGACCCTTGTGGGTGCTTCCTTCGGCCCCTGTGGGGCTTTCTGATTCCTGCACCCACTCGAGACAGTAATATCTCAAGAACTTCCAGGATGTTCCTAAACTGGGTCTAGGCCAGACCCAGAACAGGACTCCTGTCCCAGGGCATGCGAGAAGGAAGAGGTGAGAACAGAGAGGTTGTCGTCCGGCAGGAAGAGAGGGCCTTGGGGCCGCCTGGGATCAGCAGCAGGCAGCGTCTTCCCTTTCTTCCAGGCTTGCTGAACGACAGCACCTTTGCCCTGTGCAAGAAGGGGGTGCGTGTGGTGAACTGTGCCCGAGGCGGGATTGTGGACGAAGGTGCCCTGCTCCGGGCCCTGCAGTCCGGCCAGTGTGCTGGAGCCGCGCTGGATGTGTTTACGGAAGTGAGTGCCCGTCGGCCTCGGTGTGGGGGGAGGAGGGTGTAGGGATGGGCAGAGGGGCCATGGCAGGGCGAGCCCAGCGATTTACAGAGGCCTTCAGCCCGCTGCCTTCAGTGCTCATGGCGAGCTTGGTACAGAGACACCCTCCCACCTCTGTGTTGTCTTCTGCAAAACTCAGGAGGTTTTTGTTTTTGTTTCCGTATCTAATTCTGGACTTTATAGCTACCCCATAGAATGCATCCTTGGAACAGAAAAAAAAAAAATGAAGATTTTGTTGCCCCCTCATCGTAAAGCTATCGTACCCAGTCTGGGCACAGCCAGTGCGACATTGTGCTCAACTGCCCAGGCTCCCTTCCCTGTCACAACTATTTATAGCAGGGGTCCTCAAACTTTTTAAATAGGGGGCCAGTTCACTGTCCCTCAGATCATTGGAGGGCCGTTGGAGAGTGCGGCGCACTTTCCACACATGCGCACTGTGGGCCCGGGATGAGTCAGCTGCTAAGCAGGACAGGCAGCAGCGGCAAAAACACCTGGTGGGCCGGATAAATGTCCTCGGTGGGCTGCATGTGGCCTGCAGGGTTGGAGAACCCCTGATTTATAGTATACTTGGGTCTCTCATAGGAGAAAAGCTCTGTCAGCATCTATAGTTAGGAGCATTTTCAAAATACATTTTGTTGTCTTGAATAAAAAGCTTAACTATTTATTCTATCAGTACAGTAATTCTATATGGTCTTATTCCTTTCTATCTTTCTATACATAAGATAGGATCTTTCAACATTTGTGTAGGTAAATCTTTCCTATGGGGTTTTTTGAGGATTCCCAAAAGACTTCTAGGGGTTTAAATTTTTCATAATAAAAGAAAGGAACAGTGTCAATTTATGAGAGTCAGACTAGCAAGTTTAAGTAAGACCCTCTGCATGCTCGATTCCTGGTTACGAAGAGTTTCAATACAATCCCTTCACTCTCAGTTCTTAGAAGAACTTGAGAGGTATAACAGCAGTAACCATCTGTGTTATTTAATAGCCTAGGAAGAGAGGAAACATATATAGTAAATAATATATAGTCTCAACAAAATAGAAGCCAAATCCTCTCAGCCCAGGATATCTGAAAAGGAGATTCTATACAGAGCATGGATGCAGAAAAGAAGGAGTCACTCCTATCAGAAAGAATGAATTGTGGCTGTAGTCACTCAAGACCAGAGAAACAAGCACTGAGAGCAATTAACTTCATTTTCATTGTCACCAGGAAGGCACGCACCAGAGAAAGCCTGGGCCAGAGCCCTTGCCATTCTCAGGCTTCCTGGTACTATGGTTCAACAGTCTTTGGGGGGATGGGGAGAACCAGAGACCACCAGCACAACGTGTAGAAAGAATACTGTGGCAACAACCTGGCTGTCAGAAATCGGCTGGAGCTCAGGTTATATACCATTTGAAATCCAGCCCGTGCTTGCTTTCTTGTGAGAGGCTTGAGACATGTGCAGAGACACCTTCAACATGCACAGACGACCATTCTTTTGAAAGACAGAGGAGGGCTGCTTCGTGAATTCTTTCTACTCATTAGCTTTCCTATCAGTTCACTGTTTAAACTAGAAGAGACACTGCAAGCTCTCTCAGCTAGCTTCCAATCTGGACGCAGCACCAATGCTACATGCACGATTGAATGAATGACCACATCTCCCTGATTCTCCCATTCGGCAGGGTCAGTACACTTCTTTGGACTGAATAGGTGTGATCTTGTTCGAGAAAAGCATGTAAACATAGGGTCAGATTTTGTTAGTGTCCGTCCCAGAACATTGGCGGCACACTCCTCGGCTCTTGCCGAGTCAGTGACTCGCTTCGCCACATCCTTGTGCTGTCTAAGCCTGGCAGCAGCTGCTCGGGCTTGCCATCCTCCTGCTGGACTGATGGTTCACCAGCGATGCCATCAGTCCCGTGTCCATGAGGTGGACCTAAGTCCAGGTTATACACCCTTCCGCTAGAAGGATGCAGCCAACGTTGGCCAAGACGATCTTTAAGTGTCTCGAATGGAATGTTCAAAATGATCACTAGATCCAGGCCACAGATTTTGTTCAGGGCTTCAGCTTGTTCTGATGTCGCAGGAAAACCATCTGGTAGCCAGTGCTGGCTGCGCCTGTTCTCCAACTCTGACTGCGTGTGATCACATGACCTGGGACCCAAAGACCTTTCTTTCTATACTGCTTTGCCATGTCACCAACGACAGTGTTGGCCTTGACATTCTCCCGCAAGGAGTGATCGCTGTAGAGACGCTGGAGGCCAAAGTTCTGGGCGATCTTCTGGCACACAGTGCCCTCGCCCAAGCCAGGTGGGCTGAGGATGTCCGTGCACAGGGGTTTGGAAGCCACTGCCTTGGCGAGGAGGTGGGCAGCCCAGACTGCAGCCCTGGAGGGAGCCCCAGGAGCCTTGTTTCTTGGCCCCTTCCTCTGGCACCCTCAGCTTGCGCTGGAACTTGCTGGCCACCTCTAACAGGGGGGAGGAGAGACTTTTGAGACAACCCCTCCCCTCCTCAGCCCAGTGCTGGGACCGATCCAAAACTCAGGTTTTAGATGGGACCCAATTCCTGGTCCCAGGCTGCTCAGATTGATGCAGACAAAGCTGCAAACCAGCTCTGAGGGTGAGGATTTGGGGCAGAGAGAGGGGGTTTAGTGTATTCTTACAGGTCCCTGGCTGACATGCCATCCCAGCATCCACTCATGTTCCTCTTCCCTTCTCTTTGTAGGGAGGGGCAGAAGCCTGAGGCTGAGGATGCTGGCAGTATTCCCCCAGGGTCCTTGGGGTGGGCTAGCCTCCTGGCAGGGCAGAGGCCCAACCTCACACCAGATCCAGTGGTGTCGAGTGCATTTCCACTGGGATCCTGCCGCCCTCTCCTCAGAGATCCCGCCCCTGCATTAGGGCTCCTCCCGTGATGCAGCAGAAAGAGCCTGGACTTCGGATCAGGCAGTTGTGGTTTGCAGGTTACCGGCTGTGTGGCTTCAGCAAGTGACTGGCCCTCTCTGAGCCCCTGTGGCATTCATGGTCTATTCCCAGCCCAGGCACACAGTGCATTTTGCACAGTACTCCTGGTTGTCTTTCTCAGCTAGATCATAAGCTCCTTAAAGGCAGGGGAAGCCTCTGCCTTCTGTGTGTCACCATCCTCCCTGACACCGCACTGTCTCCTCTCCTCTGCATCCTTGTGCCACTTGCTACTATGTGGCTGGGACTCATAGGGTCACATGGTCTAAATTCAGTGGGACCAACAGAGCCTGGGGCGGGGGGGGGGAGGGGAATAGGCAGAAGAGAAGACGCCCAAGTGACATTCCCTAGGGCAATCCTCTGCTCTGTGAGCAGAGGGCTTGAAGGGACACCAGAGGCAGGATGGAGATGGGCAGCCTGTCCCGGGAGAGCCAGAGTGCAGCTCTTGTGTGGAGCATCTGCCGGGAGCGGGGCGCTGCTGAGAGCCCAGCCAGCGCGGCACCGACAGTAAGCGCAGCAAGGATGCAGGGGGGTGGGCTTCAGGGGAACAGCCAGCAACAACAACCTCCTGTGTAAAAGATGCATAATCCCCACGATAATGTTGCGAGGTAGATAGTAGTAACTCATTTCGCAGATAAAGAAACTGAGGCTTAGAGAGATCGAGGTTTGCCCCGAGGCACCTAGGTGGTGCGTGGCGGAGGTGAGATTTGAATCCGGTCCACAGTTTCAGCTCTGGTCACTCTGCTGTGAGGGAACGTTCGAGAGGAAGCTGGTGACTGAGCCCCGTGACCACTCTCACAAAACAGAAGTAGAAGGTGGCAATACCCCTGCCTGCCTTCGCTCCAGCTTCCTCTGTGCCCTGGGATGGCTCAAAGAGGGTATGGTCCATCCATAGCAGCCAACCTGGAGGTGTCTCTTCCTTGGCAGGAGCCGCCACGGGACCGAGCCTTGGTGGACCACGAGAACGTCATCAGCTGTCCCCACCTGGGCGCCAGCACCAAGGAGGCCCAGAGCCGCTGCGGGGAGGAAATTGCCATCCAGTTTGTGGACATGGTGAAGGGGAAATCTCTAGCGGGGGTTGTGAGTATCGCCACAAGGGCTATGGGTCCCAGGTCAGAAGGAGGGAGGAGGCGTCTTGCTGTGGGGAGATGGTGACCTCGTGTGTGAACAGATTCAGCCTGGGAGGCGAAGACAAAAGGAATCTGCTCAAGTCAGCCCTCTCTGGGAGGGGTGGGCAGGAGCCGCCCAGTCTCCAGCCCTGATAGCCGCGGCCTTGGCAGCAGACAGCCCAGCGCAGTTCTGTTACATTGTAGACTCGCTGCAGAGATTGTGGCCCTTCTCAGGGCCCAGCCTCTGGAGAAAGGCTCTTTTGTTCTTGGGGGTGAAGGAATGTTGCTTGGGTGACAGCTGCATGCAGCGGTGGGGGCGGGTGGGCTGTGTAGCAAGCCCCTGTTGGGGAGCTTGCACCCTGCAAACTCCCAGCGCACTCCTCCTTCATCGTGTCCAGCTCAGACCTCCTCTCCCCACTCCCAGTGCGAAGCCTCCCTGCCGGCCAGCCCCCCTTCCCAGTCATGGCATAACGTCCCCACATCTTGTCTGGGCTCCCATTGGGCCCCTCCTGGCATGCATGTGTCCTCTGAGCTGAACCCGACTTCCATCCTGTCTCGTTCATCCTGTCTTCGGATGTCCCTTCAGCTCCAGTGGGGACCAGACACTGTCATAGCCCTGGGGGTGCAGAGGTGAATGAGGAAGGCACAGCGGTCCTGCACGGGGCGTGCAACCTCCTTCATGAAGATTTTCCTGGCCTTTCCAGCTCCTTCTCAGGTCTTTGGATCATCAACCACGTTCTCTCTCGTTACGAAGGCTCCACGAGTTTATATCTTTCTCCTTTTGTCTCTGAGGACAAAAACCGTGACTCAGGCTTCTCTGCAGCTCACATGGGTGGGCCCAGAACATTTACTCGGTACTCTAAAGAGTCAGCACACGGGGGTGGGGATTCCCTGACCTCCTGGCTGGCCCTCACCCTGGAGATTTCGCAGCGAGGACAGAGCTGTGGCAGGAGAGACCAGGACGCATTGTTCTGCCCTCTCGCCTCTGGAATGATAGCACAGCTCTGCAGGCCACTCTGCCCTCTGCATCCTGACACAGCAAGGGCACCAGCTGTTCCCAGCCCAAGGAGGGTAGGAGGGGCCTTCAGGGCCAGCTGTCCCGTGCCACGGGAGGCCCGGAGAGCCTGGAGCTGGCTGCAAAGACTGGGTCTGCCCATGTCCTCTGTCCTCTCTCTACTGCGTTGGCACCTCCAGATAGAGCACACTTCTCACTCATCTTGCACCCCCTGGGCTTCTGAGAAGGTCCGTTCCTCCCAGGTGATGCTGATCCTGTCTCAGGCTGAGGTTTGCACCCATGAGCTTGCCTCACCCTTTCCGCCTTTCCGGAAGGCTGGTGTCCGCTCTCCCCGTTGCAGCCTTGCAACGTATTCACGTCATCGTTAGGCGCAGTGGCATTCCAGGGCTTTTCCTGAAGGGGACACCTTAGTATGAGTTCTGTCAAGTGGGACCACAAAATGTCCCCATCTTACTGAGGAGGTAAAATGTCTTGGTCCAAATAGCTAAACTGAGGCAAATTGAATTCTCTCCCCAGAGCGGCCAGTAGTCTTAGAGTAGCCATTTGAAAAGAAAGACAGTTTTGTCAAGTAGGAAATATCTCTCTTTCTAATTCTTTCCTATGTCTTCTCCAGCTCAAGTCTGTTCTTTTCAAAATTTATTTATTCACTTTTAGAGACAGGGTCTCAGTCTGTGGCCCAGGCTGGAGTGCAGTGGTGTGATCATAGCTCACTGTAACCTCTAACTCCTGGGCCCAAGTGAGCTGCCTCAGCCTCCAGAGATGCTGCGACTATGGGTGTGTACCACCACCCCCGGCTTAATTTCTTTTTTATTTTTTTGTAGAGATGGGGGTCTCACTATGTTGCCCAAGCTGGTCTTGAACTCCTGGCCTCAAGCGACCTTCCTGCTTTCAGCCTCCTGAGACCCTGGGATGACAGGCATGAGCCACTGTGCCTGGCCTCAATTCTGTTCTGACCTTAGATACAGAATAACATTAGGGTCAGGCTAGTGTCCCAAAGCACCTGACTCCTCCCTGGAGTTCTGCGGTGTGTTTTCTAGAGAAGACGGAGAACCCTCCTTGTACCGGGCAGTGCCCTGGGACTGGGCTCTGCAGACCCCACACAGAGGTCAGAGAAGCGAGGCGAGGGGCCTGCCTTGTGGCGACTCTTAGTTGATCGCTTGTCTTCTGCCTGCTGCGGGCTCTCAGCCCAGCCAGCTGTAGCGTGGTGCGCCAGGTCTCCTCTCAGCAGCTGGTCTTTCTCTTGTTCCACTTCCCAGCTCACCGTCCTCTCTGTGTCCCCGTGGAGGGGGCAAAGCTACCCTGTGCAGGAAGCCCTCGCACCCAGCCACCCCCCACACAGACGCGGCCCTGGGAAGCCCTGTCCCAGCCACCACTTCCAGCACCGTGATTCTCTACCCCTGTCTTTTTAAAAATACCCTTCCAATGATACTATTTATGGAAAGAGAAATAGAAGCATCTGTGTTTTTTCTTTTCTTATTTTTAAAATTTCAGAATATGATGGGGGTACAAAGGTTTTGGTTACACCGATTGCTTTTGTACCACTTGAGTCCAAGTTGTAAGTGTGCCCATCACCCAGATAGTGTGCATTGTACCCGTTAGGTATGGCTTCACCCATCCCCTCCTCCCCAACCCGTGTTTTCTTTTAATTATGTCTTGTAGCTGCCTGTTTGATTTGCGTCAAACCCTGGAGTTCTCATTAAATCCTTCTTAGATGGTTGTCCTTACAAGTTCCCTCAATAAAAGTGACCAAATTACCTAATTCAGAACCAGAGCATTTTGAACCACAAAATGGAATAGAAATTTTGGCCCAGAACAAGCTGGCCCTGTCATCAGGCCCCTGGTGGGGACCCAGCCAAGCAGACCCTAGACTTACGACTTTAGGACGATATGTGGCTTCTGCCCCCCACAACTTCCTAGCGGGGCTCATGGTGGATTTCATGTGGATCGATGTTTGAAGCGTGATAGGAGCATCAAAACTTTGCAACAATTGTTCATAGTGTTTAGTGACAAACATTCACTTCAAAAAAAAGAAAATATAAATGAAGACATATTAGGAATGCCATCCCAGAGAGGCCCGTCATTCCATGTCCAAGCTATCTGTGACGCCTCATACTTTTTATGTCAAAGACCCACCTTGATTGTGCTGTCCAAAGCCTCCCCCAGCACAGCAAAAGCAAGTCTCCCCTGGAGGGGGACAATTTTGAATGGTCTCAGTCTTCTGTGTCCATTTCTGGCTCCACTGCGCTCCTCATCCATAAGAACAAGTCATTATCTTCTTGTTGGGGGCTGGTGGAAGTTGCCATCCACCAGTCACCCAAAGCATGGGTGGCCCTGTGCCCATTCTCCGTGTGCAGCTGAGACCTGGCAGCACACCCCAGGGAGCTGAGCCGGGCAGGTGCGCCCCTGCCCTGCCTCCCTCTGACCTCAGCCCTGCTCCCCCGCCCTCTGCAGGTGAACGCCCAGGCGCTTACCAGTGCCTTCTCTCCACACACCAAGCCTTGGATTGGGCTGGCAGAAGCTCTGGGGACACTGATGCGAGCCTGGGCCGGATCTCCCAAAGGGACCATCCAGGTGGTAACACAAGGTGAGCTGAGGACACTGCAGGGGCTGGGAGATGGGAGCGTGGGCTCTGCCCCTGCTGCGTGTGTCTGCTGCAGGTCACAGGGCTAGTGCGAGCCTCAGAGGTGACTCGGCCCTGAGTATAGTCACTCACCACTGAGGGTGGGGGAAAAGGGGAGGGACATAAAAAGTCATTGGGAGGATGTATTTAATTTTCACAAATTGTATTTATGCAGTATTTTAAAGGTGTGCATGTTTTGGGTGCAAGAGAGACTCTACAGGAGATAGGAGATTTGTGCAAGGGAAGGTATGATGGGTGGAAGGAGTCACCAGTTAAGCAAGACAACATTCAGTTCTGGTTTTGGTCCCGTCACTAACCTGCTGTGTGACTTTCCCTTCCCTGAACCTTGGGTTCCCCACATGTCAAATGAGAGTTGGGGGGTGCACGAGCCAGCTGAGGTGGTGGGGACATCTTGTGCTCTGTGACACTCTGCGGTGGGCTTTCGGGCAGTCTGACCATCCTTGGGGTATGCTCAGGCGAGGAGTGGGAGCGAGAGCAGTGCCCGTGTCCACCCTGCTGAGCAGCTGAGCAGGCTCTGGCCGCCTTTGTCGTGGACCCAGCACTGTGCAGACGTGGTTGAGTGACCGAGGAGGGCTCCGGTTCCCTTGACCCTCCCCCACTGACCTCTGGCATCTGCACACTGGGGAGAGATCGCAGGTGGGGTGGCTGAGCGGCGAGCACCGGCAGAGCCGGGAAAGGGCAGAGCCGGCGGCTCCCCACTGGCCCTGGAGGATGCAAGACAGGGGACCGGGCAGCAGTTGGTCCTTTCTGCTTTCATTTCCTGAGGCTGGCAAGGAGCTGAGCTCCAGGTAGCAATAGGAGCAGGGAATTTTCCAGTGTCCCGTGGGAGAATGATGGGCAGGCCAGGGTAGCCAGGCCAAGGGCAGGGTGGGGCAGAGAGTGGAGTTGGGCTGAGTTTTGGAGGGGCGTTTCTCAAGGTGGCTAAAGTAACAGGTTTCCTAAGTGGAACCGCCCGGGGCAGGCTGCGGTTGGGGTCCCCCAGGCTGCAAGGAACCCATAGCCCAGAGCTGGGTGCCAGTGGCCTCCTGTCCCTGCCTGTGGCGCTCAACAAACAGTGACCTGAGGGTAGCTTCTCCTTGTTCCCAGGAGTGTCCCTGAAGAACGCCGGGAGCTGCCTGAGCCCTGCGGTCATCGTCGGCCTCCTGAAAGAGTCTTCCAAGCAGGTGGACGTGAACTTGGTGAACGCCAAACTGCTGGTGAAAGAGGCTGGCCTCGATGTGCGTCCCCCTCCCCGTCCCTGTCGGCACCGCTCTTCTCCCCACCTACCCAGAGCCCCCTCTAACCGCCCTGCTCGTTGAGTGGAGTCCTGGGTGCACGTCCTGCCTGCAGCCCAGCCACCTGGGAGAGACAGCTGCAGTCCCTCCCTCTGCAAAGTGGAGACACTGCCTGTCTCTGAGCGCCGCAGAGTGAACTAGCACTGGTGAAAGTGCTTTGTGTGTGTGAGAGCACTCTGTGAACCCAGGTGGCGGCCCCCACTCCACAGCCGGGAAGGTGATGAGCCAGGCTGCAACAGACTCGGCCCGGGTCTGCGTTCAGTGCCCCTCGCGCCATAGCACCTGGTTTTCTTTATTAGCTTGCAAACTCTGGGAGCAGGCGACACGCCCTCTGCTGCCTCTCACGGCTGCCCTGTGGTGCCTTCCCTTCTGGGTCCCTGTTAAGTTCCAAGTCTGTGTCTCAGCCAGTGGGAGCTGACAGGAGCAATCGCGGGCAGCCCTCTGATTCTGTGCAGGGAGCTGTGTGTCAGGGCAGGGGGCCCAGGTGGGGCCGCTGCGGCAGCATCCTCCTCAGCCCTGCCTCCCTCCCGCCCCCCACGCCCCCATCCTTTACCTGTGCCTGGCAGGTCTCTCTGTGCCCTCCCCTTAGGGAGTCACTGGCTGTCCCAGGAGGCTGATATTCAGGGCACAAGGCTTATTAGCCCATTCGCCTTTGCTGAGCATGTCAGGCCGGGCACACCAGTGATCAGGCTGAGAGAGGGCGCCAGTGTGGTGCAGCCAGGAGGAATAACTGTTGCCTTGCCTTTTCCCTGCAGGTCACCACGTCCCACAGCCTTGCGGCACCAGGGGAGCAGTGCTCCGGGGAGTGCCTCCTGACCGTGGCCCTGGCAGGCGCCCCCTACCAGGCTGTGGGCTCCGTCCAGGGCACCACGCCTGTACTGCAGATGCTCAACGGAGCTGTCTTCAGGCCAGAAGTGCCTCTACGCAGGGGCCTGCCCCTGCTCATGTTCCGGGCGCAGCTCTCCAACCCTGCAGTGCTGCCTACCATGATTGGTGAGGAGGGCCCTGTGGGGGTGGCTGGGGCTCTCGAAGCCAGCATGGGACCTGCCCTGGGTTGGGACCCTGTCTACTTTCTGCCTTCTTCAGCCGCTCTCCCTGCCTCAGGGCATCTCTGGATCTGCACCATACCAAGGGTCTATCACGCCAATTTTCCAGAACATTCAGAGGTTGAATACTGAGTTCAGAGAGGGAAAGTGCTTTATCCAGGGTCACAGAGCAGTGTGGCAGGGGCAGGACCTAGCCCGGCTATGGCTCCCAGCTCGCCATGTTAAGCACCCTGTGGAGCCGTATTTCAGGAGCTCAGGGCCGTGGAGTGCAGGTTTCCTCCTCCGGCCTGCAGGCCCTAGTGGCCAGCCCGGCTGCACAGAGCCTACGAAGGCATCCCCTCCAGTGGTTGTGGGGGTGCTTGGCCTGCCCCAGTCCCCTGGGTTGCCGGGAGTTTTTGCACCCCATCCAGGTTTGGCAGAGGGTGTGTTGTGTCCCTAAACGCTGAATGGCCTGATTTCACCATCGTTGCAGACTGCCCAGCGAAACTTTCCTGCTTTTCTCCTTTGCTCTTGACCAGGATAAAACTGGCAGCCAGTAAGTCAAGAGCTCCAGCTCTTGGAGGCTAGACCGTCCCTTCCCTGCCTGGCCCGAGGTCAGGGTGTTAACGAGCCTCTAGAATGTCAAGGGAAGCTGGGCAGGTGCCCTGTTGTTCCTTCCGGCTCAGGTCTGTGATTCTGAGACTGTCACCCCCCCATCGCAAGTGTGATCACAGAGGCCCACAACCTCGGGCTCCGCTCCCAGCTCCTTGCTCCTCCCCTCCCCGTGCCCTGTGCCAAGCTGGCTTTCTCCTCCTTCCAGGCCTCCTGGCAGAGGCGGGCGTGCAGCTGCTGTCCTACCAGACCTCGGTGGTGTCGGAGGGGGAGGCCTGGCACGTCATGGGCATCTCTTCCTTGCTGCCCAGCCTGCAGGCGTGGAAGCAGCATGTGACCGAGGCCTTCCAGTTCCAGTTCTGACCTGGGGCTCACTGGTCCCAGCCTCAGGCTTCTCTGAAGTTGGCTACCCACTGAGCAACAGGGAGAGGAAATCCACATTGCAGGGGCGGGACCAGGGCCTCTGGTACAGCAGTAACCATCTAGTAAAGAGCCTCCCACTTCCTCCTGTGTCTTTGTGTTGTCATTTTCCTGAACAGCCAGCAGAGGGCATCTGCAGGCAGCCAGGGACTGGGTGCTGGAGGGTGTGGAGGAAGATTGGGATGAGCGGATGGCATGGGTGTGGGCGCTCTGAAGATGACCTGCTCCTGTCTCTAAGGTGATTCAGAGGCATTTTTATAGGAACAAAGCTCAATATATTTCAGAATGCTGTAGTATTTTAAGATCCCTTCCATCTGTGAATATACATGCACATTAACAAGTAAAATTCAACAAACACGCACAGCATTATGTGCCAAGCACTGGGCTAGGTGCTTTCCTTTAAGAGAAGAGTTCAAACCTGGCCCCGTCCCATAGAAGTCTCCTGGTGGGAGGAACAGAACGTACAGAGGTCACAGGAAGCCATGCGTGATCCGACAACAGAGGTATATAGGAAATCTCTTGAGTCCAGAGCAGGAAGTAATTTGAACTGAGGATGTTGGTGTCTTAAAGATGTGTGGAAGGACTTCATAGCGGAAGATTGTGTGTGTAAAGTCATGGGGGCACGAGAGTAGGTGGCAGGTTCACAAAGTGAGTTCAGTGTGGGGTAGACAATGTGTTATTTTTTTTTTTAAGATGATTTTCTTGGCCGTGCACAGTGGCTCATGCCTGTAATCCCAGCACTTTGGAAGGCTGAGGCAGGATTGCTTGAGCCCAGGAATTTGAGGTTGCAGTGAGTTATGATGACACCACTGCACTCCAGCCAGGGCAACAAGAGTGAGACCCTGTCCCCGCTCTCTAAAAAAAGATGACTTTCTTGAAAAATATGGCAGAATGGCAGTCCTTTCCCCCAAAGCTTCACCTTTTCAGAGTTCACCCCCCCCCATTAATATAGGGTGATGCGTTCCTTTCCTACCGTGTGCCCAATAGCATCTGTTTCTGAGGCTCCTGCCCTGGCTAGGAAGTACTTGGCACTGCTTTGGCTTCCTCAGTGCCTCAAAGGGGCTGAGTGTTGCAGGAACTCCAACAGTAAGGGTGGTGCTAGCATCTGCGGCGAGCCCAAACGTGTGTGTGTGTGTGTGTGTGTGAGAGAGAGACAGAGAGAGAGAGAGAGAGAGAGATGGCACTGCTAGAGCAGACCTTGAAGGGCTTGGGCCTGGGTGTGAACACTAAGGTCAACTTTGGGCAGTTCTGTGACCTGGAACACAGTGTTTAATTCCCGTAAGCCTTTATTTCCTCATCTGTAAAAGGGATAATGATGCCTCTAGGATTTACATGAAGTGCCCAGGGCACTTGGTGAACGTTGGTCTCTTCATTCCTGTGCCTTTCTGAGAGTAGATGAGCAGGTCTCAATCATTTATATAGAAACAACTCCACAAACCAAACCCCCATGCCTTCATCGCGATGTGTTCAGCCAGATCTAGATGCCGGGTGTCCTGACTTCAGACAGCACATTCCTTCCTGTTGGAAAAATGCCCGTGCCTCATGCGGCTTCTGCTGGGGAGGTCACTTGAGTCAACTGATAGCTAGAAAAACAGGCTGAGACTGAAGTTAAAAAAACTCAGTTAAAAATTGAGCTCAACTTTCAGCCTCTAAGCCTCCTTCCTCAAAACTCCCTGGGCAAAGCACATTTTGTACACTAAGGTGGTCAGAACAATTCTAGAAACCCAGATTACTTGAACATCTCAAAATACCCTCCTAGACATGGGTCACACTAGAGGGCGTGGGACAATTTCATTGCATCACCTATACCTTGGCAGTTCATATGACCTCCCAAATTTAAAGGGCAGGATTAATTTTAAAATTTAGCTATTGATAATTTCTTTAGGAGCCTCCATACTGTTTTCCATAATGGCTGCACTAATCTACATTCTCACTAGCAGTGTATAAGTGTTCCCTTTCCTCCACACCCTCACCAACACTTGTTATCATCTGTCTTTTTGATAATAGCCTTCCTCACAGGTGTAGGTAATACATCATAGTGGTTTTGATTTGCATTTCCCTGATGACTAAGTGGAATAAGCCAGACACAGAAAAATATCACATGACCTCACTTATACATGGAACCTAAACCAAAAGAAGATCAAATATATACAGATACAGACTAAAACTGGTTGTTGGGGCCCAGGGGTAGGGCACGGGGAGGAAATGGGGACATATAGGTCAAAGAGTATAAAGTAGCAAATATGTAGGGTGAGTAAGTAGAAAGATCTAATATACATGAGCATGAGGCCTATAGTCCATAATACTGTACTGTATTGAGAATTTTTGCTAAATGAGTAGATTGGAGCTGCTCTTGCCCCAGGGTGGGTGGTTGGACAGGGGAGTGGATAACTGTGAGTTAGTGGCTATGCTAATTCGCTCCTTTATAGTAACCATTTTACTACACACACACACACACACACACATATATATATATAATCACATCATGTTGTATACCTTAAATATACACAGCAAAATCTTTAAAAATCCAGCTGGTGCTGCTAGGAGGGTCCTATTAACTCTTTTGTGTTACTGTGTGGCACGGGGCCCCGGCATCACCTAACTTTAGAGTGGAATTTCTTTCCTGTGCATGTTAGCTGGGAAGCAGAATGCCTTCTGGAGGCTCAGTGGTGGAATCAAGGCAAATGCTGGGGCCACACTTGGGAAATGCCTCAAAATGCTGACTCCTGGAGCCCTGGGGTTAAGAAACGTGTGTGTGTGTGTGTGTGTGTGTGTGTGTGAGAGAGAGAGAGAGAGAGAGAGAGAGAGAGAGAGAGAGAGAGAGAGATCAGTGTGTGTATGAGGTCAGGGTGTTGGTGTGTGTGATCAGCATATATGTGTGATCAATGTGTATATGTGTATGTGTGGTGTGTGTGTGTGTGTGTGTGTGTGTATGATCAGTGTTTCCCCCTAGAGACCCGCAGTTGCAACATGGTCAGTGGGCTGGGCCGTGCACACCTGTTTCAATATCCCATGTTGAGTACTCTCATTTGAGATGAGTGTATCATGGCTCAATACTTGCCTAGTATGCCTTCCTCTTTCCTTCTCTAGGTCCCTCTGGGTGATTTTTTGCCCACACAGGGAGGTTCTTCATTTGCATGGCATCAGCAACCTTTGGGGTGAAAGTGCTGACAGGGTAATTAGAATCTCATTCCTTCACTTGCTGACCTTACAAGGGGGAGGGGGCTGTGTTCAGAGCAGGCGGGCATCAGTGTTCATGAAGTGGATCCCAGAGCTGCTGGAGGAAGGCCTCAGGCTTGGTATACAAGTTGGTGAGGAAGGGGACCAGGGACCTTGGTGTGTGCCGTGCTGGCAATCACTAGCGCCATCTGTGCACCCTGCAGGTGAACCCGGGCTGATATCCAGCTGGTGTGCCGGGGTATGGGCAGCATTTATCCCGGTTGTTAAATATTTTTACTGCCATCCCTAGGTTGTGTCCAAGTGACTCCCTAGTGGAGGCAGGCCTGGCCCCAGGAGCAGGTGGTATGGCAGGTGCTGGTTGCCAGGGCGGTAGGGGACAGCTCCAGCACCAATACCCCACGGTGAGCTCCCGTGTGATTAGAAGGCCAGGCCTGGTGTCCTGGACTTGAGAGCTGGGGTGAATGCTGGCTTTCTCCCATGAACACTGACACTGCTCCAGAGATTTTAGAAAAGGCAGATCTTGTCCCACCAGGGACACCAACCAGGTTGAGGGCTCTAGACAGCGTCGGCGGAGGTGCGGGCAGCAGGGGGCAGCAAAGAGGTGCCGCTAAACTGCAGCAGCGGCTGGTGCTAGAGCCGGGTGTCAGCAGCACCGCGCAGGGGCTGGGACACGCCAGGGGCTGGGATGGCAGTCAGCTGATGCTGGATTAGCTCCACAAATTAGGGCTTATCTAGGATTTGCTGGTGGCTGTTGAGACATGAACAGCCTTGAGCAAAACAGTGAGGGGGAGAGACCCAACGTCACATTCCCAGGTGTATCCGTGTGCCCCGCCACGTCTGTTCCCTGCCAAGGAAACAAACTTCTCTCTTCTAAAATGCCCTTTTCCTCATGGGGGTAGCTGGGGAAACTTTCTAAAAAGAAATGAACGATAACCTGATATCCTCCCATCTTCTCCCACTCCCCTCCTCAACGCAATCCCTGTCTTCCTGAACCATTGCTATTTCATGAGAGGACCCTGGAAAAAGCAGTGCCCTAGCCCAAGGAGTAAAGATCCTCTAGTGGAATAATTTCCTGCTGGATACATAATTTAATTTAATATATGCATTTATTATTATTATTATTATTTTGGCTGGAGAAGGCATGAACTTAACCTGAGTTTATTTGTCCAAATACCACTGGTAAGGTATGACTAAGGAGGTGTGATCTTTAGCATCTGCTGCCCTGTCTGCTGGCGCTCCAGACTAGAGAAGCGAGCTGGGGAAGCTATGTGCCGCCATCTTTACTTGCCTTGCACCTGCCAGAATACTTGGTATGTGGCAGAAACTGAATGGAATAGGAAGGGGAGAGGGGAACATGCGAGGTGAGGATGCAGCCCTCCGGCCGGGGGGGTCTGGCAGGCTTCTGTGTTGTGTGTGTCGACTGGTACCATTTTTGTGTTCTGGGTTCCAAGAAATACAGGAGTCTTTTCTTCCTTCTCTCTTTTTAATTGTCATTTATTAGCTTAGAACAAAATACAAAATTTAGAAATTCACAGGCAACCTTAAGAAATGACCAAAGACAAACTAGCACAGAAGTTTGGTAATAATGAAGGTATAACAAATTGGGAAGTTTTTCTGGATCTTCAAAGGGACAGCCGATCTGCACATTTCTGGAGGCCGAGTAATTCAGGAAGAGCCTTCGCTCCATCCCCCATTTCGCTCGCTCACAAAGGGCCGCTAGTCCATCACACCAAAAGCCGGGACAGGGACTGCGGCTGGCCAGCTGGAGAGGGTGCACCGCCCACTCGGGGTGGCGCCTCGCTCTACCGCGCTCACAGCTCATGGGGGTTCCGATGTCGATTCAAATTTATTTACCAGCTTTAGAGCAGGATTT